TTTTTTTTTTTTTTTTATTATCTAATTTACACTTCTGAGAGCATGGATCTTTACAATTCCTTTTAAATTGTAAATCCCGCAAGTAGTATCTCAGATTTAGGAAAACAATGGGGATTTATCTTGCAATTCCTAAATAGAATATAAGTAATCCTATATTAGTAAATACCGGTTTCCTAATCTGTATGTTGTGGTGATAATATCTAAACCAGTGCTCTAGATCATGCCTTCAGGATTCTGAGACTGGCAAATATTATATATGATTTTTATATGATATAAATTATCTAGTCTACTTCCTGCCTGATATAGTAGGCACTCAATAAATAGTTATATGTCATATTTGTGAGTATGAGTGCCAGAGTTTAGACTACTTAGTTTTTAAAATTTCGTATTTAAGTAAACTTTATGCCCACCATGGGCTTGAACTCAACTGGAGATCAAGAGGTGCATGCTCTGAGTCAGGCAGGGGCCCCTAAACTACTTAGTTTTGAATTTTGAATCTGCCATTTATTTTGTGATCTTGGGCAAATTATTTACTGATATATACTTTCGTTTCCTTTTTTTGTAAAATAATGTGAAAATTGAAATCTATACAGTAAGGTGGTGAGCATTTAAAGCATGTTAGATGTCTAGCACATAATTGCACTGAATAAATGATAGCTGTTATTAAAGCAATCTCATATCAATAACTGCCACATGCCAAGCACTGTGCCTACACCATGTAGTCTCATACATATGTAGAATGTCCAACACATTCAGTGGCTGGGAGCAAGTTGCTCTAAAACAGTAGTAAAAGATGTGTTTCTCTGGACATCTGTTATCTTCTTGGCATTCATTAGGGATTTAGCAATTCCTGTGGGTTTGAGGGGAGGGATGTAGGATATGGGAGTTTTTATCTCTGAAAGGCAGTGCCTCCATAGGCCTGTGTCCCGTCCTGTGAACTATGTCCTGGGGCAAGTATTCATACCTCGTTTGCCTAATCCCTTATCCCTCCTATCTCCATTCAGCAGCCAGAGCAATCTTTGTAAAACCCAAATCAGATTATGTAATCTTATTCTTAAAACCCTACCCTTCCCACTGCCTTTATGCAAAGTTCAAACAACTCGGCATAGCATAGAAGGCCCTCTGACTCCTATTATTTCTCGGTTTTTTTCAGTCTTCTCTCTCACTATTCCCTATCTTGACTCCTTAATTGTACTGAGTTCCTTGATCATGCCTTGCTGTGTCTTTTCACAGGTCCTTGTATATATTGATTTCATTTTGGAAATACATTCCTGGCATCTTTTGGTTATGGTTATTTCAACTTGCAGCTTAGACATTATGTTCTTCGGGAAGCCTTATTTGATGCCCTAGACCCAGTTAAGTGCCCCTCCTGTGCTTATTTCTGTCATGGTTTATTGTAAGTACTGTTTTTCACCCTGCTACACTGAAATTTCCTTGATTAAGAATAGTATTTTGTTCATTTTAGTACCTAGTTTAGCACATTGTCTGGCAAGTACTAACGAAATAATATATGTAATTTATAAATGATACGTATGTGGTATATTTTATATGTATGAAAGGGGATTTGAATCTAGAATCGCAAATTATACTTCTATTGATTCATCCTGGGTGGTTTAGCCGTGTGTTCTCAAAATTGAGCATATATCACTATCGCTTGCAGGGCATGTTAAAACGAAGTACTGGGCCTGACCTTAGACTCTCTGATTGAACAGGGCAGGGGTGGGACCCAAGACCTTGAATTTCTAACTAGTTCCCAGGTGATGTTGTCTTGTTAGTCCAGGGTTCATACCTTTGGAACCAGTGCTTTAGAAATTTTTTTTTCATTGGCATCTCTGTTTACTTCTTCAATTCCCCATCAGTAATTTTAGATTTCTAAATTTGCCCACAGTAACAATTTTATCCAGTAGCATAGGATACCTACAGTACTCATTCCAATATCATTGCAGTGATATTGCAAAGATTATTCCTTGCAGAGGAAATTTGTATATTCTTGGATGCTAGGATATGTTGACTTTAAGATGTAAAAGGAAAAATTCAAAACGCAAGGGGGCCATCTTGTGGTGCCTATAGCAATTTAGAAAATGGAAAATTGAAGCTCTTTCCACAAGGATCCCATATGTTGTGGGATCATTTTCAAATACATGTTATGGCACCTAGAAAAAGCTTTCCACGCTAATTATTTTATATAATATATATATTATTGTTATATAATATATATTAATAACATGTTATTTTATGTATTTTATAATATACATTATCTTACATATTTTACTTAGTTTTCTCTTTTAGTTTTTCTTGGCAAATTCTTTTTCCACAGGGTAGGGTCACTCTTTTATTGTGTACTTAGTATCAGATAATTTGATTATACCTATGTTTCCCTTGGTGATTCTAAGAGACTTAGAACTCTCAGATTTCTCTCTTCTGTCGAGTTTGTGGGCAACAATTGTGTTTGATATTTATTCTTTTCATCAAGGTTGAATGTTCTTTGTTTTCATTTTAGGTGATACAAATAATTGAATAACCACAGTTATTTTCTGGACCTGACTCGTTTATAACTTCGGAAGAAATAATGGAAAGCCAGGAATTTATTGTGAGTCTTACCAGTTTTCACTATTTCCTTTTTTCTTTTTTTAAAATCCTCTTTATTTTATTATTATTATTATTTTTTAATATTTTATTTTCAAGTAATCTCTACACCCACTGTGGGGCACTAACTTACAACCTTGAGATCAAGAATTGCACGCTCCATCCATTGAGCCAGCCAGGTGCCCCACTATTTCCTTTTTCTTACTTCCTTTCACATTTCACAAATGTCTTGCTAGGGTTGATAGATTTAACAAACAACCTCAGAACCTAAAAGCAAGACACTTAGTTAAATTTAAGTATCAGATAAACAGTGAATAATTTTTTTGGTATAAATATGTATATTTCAAATATTGCCTGATGTTTTACCTGGCAACCCTATCTCTTGCCTACTATTCAGGTTTGTTATACAAAGTCCTTTGGAACAAACTCTTTGTAAGCTCTTTGTTAGGACCAGGAAATAATTTCTTTTGAAGAATTGGCATGCCTCTTCTATCTAGATTAGTGATTCTTAAAACTGTTTGGTCTTAGGATCCTTTTATGCTCTAAACAATTATTGGGGACCCAAGAGAATTTTTGATTATGGGGCTTATGTCTATTGATGTCTTTCATATGATAAATTGTAACAAATTTAAAAAATATTTATTAATTCATTAAAAATAACCCATTACATCGGACATAAATTACTTTTTTTTTTTAAATGGAAATAGCTATATTTTCCAAAACAACAACAGAAGAAAAACACATAGAAAAAAGTGGCATTGCTTTACTTTTTTTTGCAAATCCTCCGAGCAATTGACTTAATAAAAGTCCGCTAGATTCTCAGATCTGCCTCTGCATTAGTCTGAAATTGAATCTTACAACATTGCGTATACATAACCCTGGGAAACTCCATTCTGCATGCCTGAAGAAATGAGAGAAAAGGCAAATAACATCACGAAAATATGACCTCATAGACCTATGACCTCATAGACCCCTGAAAAGGTCTTGGGGACTTATAGGAGTCTCTGGACTACATTTTGAGCACAGATCATGACTTCTGTATAACTCAACAAATATTTTCCTTCCCACAGATGACTGAGAAGCTCAAAATTATCATTGTTATTATTTTTTTGAGCGAGAGAGAGTGTATAAGTGTGCGTGCAAGCAGGAGAGAGGGGTAGAGGTGGGGAGAATCCTAAGCAGGTTCCACGCTCAGCACAGAGCCCAATATGGGGCTCAGTCCCACAACCCTGGCATCATCACCTGAGCTGAAATCAAGCGTCGGATGCTTAAGTGACTAAGCCACCCTGGTGCCCCTCAAAATTGTTGTTGTCCAGTTAACTTTTCAGTTTCCTTTTTAGATTTTATCTTGTTTCTTTCCTGCCTTGACTTCTACTACCAAGTTTCTTTTTTTTAAATTGATGTTTGTTGTTATTTATTGTTATTATTATTGTTTTTTCATGTAAGCTCAGGGCCCAGTGTGGGCCTTGAACTCACAGTTATGTACTGTGCCAACTGAATCAACCAGACACCCTCATGTTTTGTTGTTATTATTATATGTTTTGTTTCGATAAAAGATGTCTAAATATTTTTTGTGGGTAAGAAGTGTATAAAGATATATAACATTTAATACATGTAAAAAGAAACCATTTCTTTTGTACTTTTGGAAATAAGGTACTATATACTCATCAAAAAATGAAGAAGTCAAAAGTGTGGCAAGATGGAACTCTGAAGATCACTCACTTGGGAAACAAAGTAAGTACAAAGCAGTTGACTACAAAATTCAAGAGCTAGATTCTTGCCTTTTGATTGAGTATTAAAAAAGACTCTATAGATGATAGAATGTTAAATTTGTCCATAAACTGAAACAATATGAAAACAGAAGTGATCAAATGATTATAGTGATTAATTTGTGCATTATAAAAGTTCAGTAAATATTATTGAATTTGTTTTGATTTTCAAAAGTTGGATTAGGTTTTCTATAAAATGATTTAGGAATTTTGGCATATTTTTTTTCTTTGCAGGCATGAGTTTAATGATAAAAAAATATATTAAAATATATTTCTAACATGGTAATAGAGGGAAATGGTATGTACAGAGTTGACACACCATTGTAGAAAAGTTGCTGATTTCTAAAATTATGTACAGAGTACTCTTTATTTTCATGTTTTCTTTCAGTCAGTTACTTTGATTGTGATATGTACCTATCAGTCTGGAGAGAATTATTTGCTAGGGTGATCTTTTACTTTACTAGATATGGTAATCCTTCTATGGGTTTCTTTTCTCACCCCCAAGGATCTCCATCTGCCAAATTGTAATATTCTTTAACCAGTTCTCATGACCTTATGCAACACTGTTGGCTCCTCCATTCTTCCTCCTGATACCTCTTCATTTGACTTTTGTGACACCACACTTTCCTGATGTTGCTTACTGACGTCTAAGTATTTCGGTAGGCTCATTCTCTTCTCAAACTTTAAATTTTTCCTTAGGACTCAGTCTTACATGTACTTATAAAGAAATACATAAAGGTATATAAATCTTTCTTACTCTCTCTTTTATCCCTGTGTGTGTGTGTGTGTGTGTGTATACACACATGTAGAGAGAGAGAGGGAGAAAAGAGATTTATTCTAAGGAATTGGATCATGTGATTGTGGAAGCTGACAAGTCCCAAGATCCATAGTTGGTAAGATGGGAGACCCAAGAAAGCCAATAGTGTAGTTTCAATATAAATGTTGGAATGCTTGAGACTCAGGAAGAGCCAGTATTTCAGTTTGAGTCAAAAGGCAGGAGAGCACTCATAACTCAGCTGAGAGACAATCAGGCAGGAGGAGTTTTTTCTTACTCAAGTTTTTTATTCTCTTCGGTCCTTCCTCTGATCAGATGAGGCCCACCCAATTAGGGAGAGCAATCTGCTCTATTTGTTTATTTTTTTATTGAGGTATAATTGACATTTAACATTATGTTAGTTTCAGGTGTACAGTGTAGTGATTTGATATTCATATACATTGCAAAATGATCACAGTAAGTGTAGGGTACCATCTGTCACCATATATAGTTAACAAAATTTTTTTTCTTTTATTTTTTGTGATGAGTACTTTTAAGATTTACTTTTAGCAACTTTTAAATATGCAGTATGGTGGTATTAATTATGGTCACTATGCTGTACATTATTTATTTTTATAGTTAGAATTTTGTGTCTTTTGACGTCTTCATCCATTTTGTCCCTTCATTCCCCTTCCCAGATGGGTTAAAAAAACATTTTTTTTTAATGTTTATTTATTTTTGTGAGAGACAGAGTGCAAGCAGGGGAGGGCCAGAGAGAGGGAGACACAGAATCTGAAGCAGGCTCTAGGCTCTGAGCTGTCAGCACAGAGCCTGATGTGGGGCTCGAACCCACAAACCATGAGATTATGACCCAAGCCGAAGTAGGATGCTCAGCCAACTGAGCCACCCAGGTGCCCCCCAGATGGATTTTTAAAAAAACTTATATTGTCAACTGCTTACTAGGTGCCAGGCATGCTTTAAATGTGTCAACTTACTTAGTCTACGTAACTCCACTATTAGGTACTATTTTTATCTTTATTTTACTGAGGATGAAACTGAAGCACAGAAAGGTGAAGTAACTTGTCCACAGATCTCACAGTTAGAAAATGGAGAAGTCATATGTGACCCTAGGCTTTTTGGCTCCAGAGCCCATATCCTAACCATTCTGCTGTCTCTGTTAATACTACAAATTAAAAACAAAAAACAAAAAACCCTCCAACACATTTGAGTTGACAATACATAAAGTTAGAAGTCATACTTCTCAGTTAGCAGTTAAAGATCTCCATATTCTGTCCTTATTCTACATATCTATCATTGTGAAATTACCAGAGAAGCTTTTCAATGTAGAAAGGCTACTTGTTATTATTTTTAAATTAGCAATTAGTTAAAACAAAATTAAAAGAAAAAAATCGTTTTGCTTTAAGCCTTCAAGTTCAACTTACACTTCCTATTAACTTTAACGTTCAGTGGGTTTAACGTTTAGTCAATTTAAGTTGAACAAACTGGATACTTTTAATCATCAGTCTAGTAACAAACATAAAATTTTTTTTTAAACATAAAATTTTAAATATTTTAAATTTATAAATTTATTTTCTTTTTTCTTTTTCTTTTTTTTTTTTTTAAGATTTTGTTTTTAAGTAATCTATACCCAACATGGGGCTCAAACCCACAACCCTTAGATCAAAAGTGAAATACTCCTCCTACTGAACAAGCCAGGTGTCCGTTTTTTTTTTCTTTCTTTTTTTTTTTCCCCCAAAGTAATATCTACATCCAATGTGGGGCTCAAACTCATGATCCCAAGATCAAGAGTTGCATGCTGGGGCACATAGGTGGCTCAGTCGGTTGAGTGTCTGACTCTTGATTTCAGCTCAGGTCATGATCCCAGGGTTGTGGGATCAAGCCCTCCCTTGGGCTCCACATTCAGTGCAGAGCCTGCTTGGGATGCTCCCTCTCCCTGCCTCTGTGCCTCTCCCCCACTCAAGCTCTTTCCATCTCTCAAGTACAAAAAAAAGAAAAAGAAAAAGAGTTGCATGTCATACCAATTGAGCCAGCCAGGTGCCTCTGATTTTCTTTCTTTAGCATTTTAGTTGTCCTAACAAATAAAAACCTCCCAATTGCCAAAATCCTTCTATTATATCTAGTAAATTAAACATAAACATAGTTATTCTTAAGGCTTTGTAAGTATTCTAATACTGTTTATAAACTTAGTAAAATTAAGTTACCCACCTCTTTCACTTAAAAAGTCACATATCGGGGCGCCTGGGTGGCGCAGTCGGTTAAGCGTCCGACTTCAGCCAGGTCACGATCTCGCGGTCCGTGAGTTCGAGCCCCGCGTCGGGCTCTGGGCTGATGGCTCGGAGCCTGGAGCCTGTTTCCGATTCTGTGTCTCCCTCTCTCTCTGCCCCTCCCCCGTTCATGCTCTGTCTCTCTCTGTCCCAAAAATAAATAAAACGTTGAAAAAAAAAATTAAAAAAAAAAAAAAATCACATATCTGGGGCACCTGGGTGGCTCAGTTGAGTATCTAACTGTTGATTTCAGATCAGGTCATGATCCCAGGGTTGTAGGATCAAATCCCATGTTGGGTTCTGTGCTGAGCATGGAGCCTGCTTAAGATTCTCTTTCTCTCTCCCTCTGTTCTTCTCCCCTGCTTGCATTCTCTCCTGCTTGCATTGATCCAGCCAGGTGACTCTGATTTTCTTTCTTTCTTTCTCTCTCTCTTCCCTTTCCTTCCTCTCTCTCTAAGAGTTACAAAAAAATAAAGGCCACATATCCAAAATGAATTTTTCAGTTACACATTTGGGATCATAAATGTATAATCTGTCTTTGTAAATTTAAACATTACAAGTACTTTTTAAAGTAAAAAATAATTTTTGAATGTTAAAATAGCACAGATACTTCAAAATCATGGGTTGCATAATTACTAAAACCTATTCATGATCTTAATTCAAAAGCATTGATATTTTGGGGGTGATTTACTGCCTTATCACTATCCAGTTCTAAATGTTTCAGGAGTTAAAAAGTCCTTTTCCATAGTTAAAAAAAATTTTTTTTTTTTAGGGGCACCTGGCTGGCTCATTCCATAGAGCAGGTGACTCTTGGTCTCAGGGTTGTGAATTGTGAGTTTGAGCCCATTGGGTGTAGAGATTACTTAAAAATAAACAAAGAAACAAATAAATAAACTTTAGATAAAAATGTTACTGCCCAAGTAAATTGAAGGTATATCAGTGAACACAAGTTACTAATTAGATTCTAGGCTGGGACTTGAGACCTAGGGTTAAAAATAATCACTGTACCCTTACCAGCATCATAAAGGGATATGTTGAGCCTTGTGTTTAGTGGGAGTAACAACAGGATGTCTAAGTCCATGCCCTTTAGAGAGTGTTGGTCTCAGAGTTGATATCTTAGGTTTAAGTCATGGCATTATCTAATTCTTTTATTATTTTTTAATTTTTACTTACTATTAAAAATTTTTTTCAATGTTTATTTTTGAAAGAGAACACAGCGTGGTGGGGGAGGGGCAGAGAGACAGGGAGACACAGAATCCAAAGCAGGCTCCAGGCTCTGAGCTGTCAGTACAGAGCCCGATGAGGGGCTCGAACTCATGAACCTTGAGATCATGACCTGAGCTAAAGTCAGACATTCAACTGACTGAGCCACCCAGGCATCCCTATTTTTTAAAATTTAAGTCAAAGTTAGTTAACATATAATGTAATAATTTCAAGAATAGAATTTAGTGATTCATCACTTACATATAACACCCAGTGCTCCTCCCAACCAGTGCCCTCCATAATTCCCATCACCCATTTAGCCCATCCTTGCTCCTAACACCTTACCAGCAACCCTCAGTTCGTTCTCTGTATTTAGAGTCTCTTATGGTTTGTCTCCCTCTCTGCTTTTATCTTATTTTTGCTTCCCTTCCCCTATGTTCATCTGTTTTATTTGTTAAATTCCACATATGAGTGAAATCATATATTTGTCTTTCTCTGACTGACTTATTTCACTTAGCATAATGCATTCTAGTTCCATCCACGTTGTTGCAAAGGGCAAGATTTCATTCTTTTTGATTGCTGAGTAATATTCCATCGTATATGTATATCACATCTTCTTTATCCACTTGTCAGTTGATGGACATTTGGGCTCTTTCCATACTTTGACTATTGTTTATATTGCTGCAGTAAACATTGGGGTGCACGTGCCCCTTCGAATCAGCACTCCTGTATCCTTTGGATAAATACCTAATAGTGCAATTGCTGGATTGTAGAATAGTTCTATTTTTAATTTTTTGAGGAACCGCCACATTGTTTTCCAGAATGGTTGCACCAGTTTGCAATTACCTAATTCTTTTAATCTGAATAGATGAATGTCTATGCCTGCCCTCATTCATATTTTTAAATAATTTGTCTTAAACTAATTAATCCATTCACTGTTTGAGCTGTTCTTTCTCTCTCTATATATATACACATATTTAATAGTTTTCCTATTTGGTTGGGCCAAGTCTGCAAAGTCTTATAGATTTTGTCTTATATTAAAAGGACATCTGGGGCCCCTGGGTGGCTCAGTTGGTTAAGCATCTGACTTCGGCTCAGGTCATGATCTCGCAGTTTGTGAGCTCGAGCTCTGCATCGGGCTCTGTACCGACAGTTCGGGGTCTGGAGCCTGCTTTGCGTTCTGTCTCCCTCTCTCTCTGCCCCTTCCTTGCTCTCTCTCTTTCTCTCTCAAAAGTAAATAAACATTAAAAAAAAAAAGACATCTGATTAGATTCTGCATATCCTTCATGTCTTCTGTTACAAAATCATAATATTAGGTCACACTAGTAGTGTTATCCAACTTTATCTGCACGTATAGCATATATTTATTGAATGTCTATTTTATGCCTCTCATTGGTAAGTTACAGGAAGACAAGATAAATTCAAGTTAGTCCTAGGGATTTTCTGTGATGCAAGAAAGTTAGTAGATCCTAAATTACAGCCTTGTTCTCAAATCCAAACCACTGCTTGCACCATTTCTCTTACTAGTATTACCTTTTCCCTACCTATCCAAATTCTTACCGTCATAGTTACTCATCTTCCATTAATTGAGTCATCATTCAATAAACATATGTTGCTGGTAGGCAGTGGGAGAAGTTAAATAAGACATATGGAGGCAATGTAGAAGACCAGTTAATGTCAAACAACCTTAGTTTGAATCCTGGTTCTTCACTTACTAGATGTGTAATCTTGGCAAGTTATTTAGCCTCTCAAGGGCTATAGTTTCTTTAAGTTGTCTTGAGGATTAAATAAGAAAAATAAGAAAAATGTATAAATCTCTTATCAGAGTACCTGGCACACTGTAAGAATGCAATAAATGGTAACTGTTATTATAGTTTTGCCTTCAAGGAGCTTTTACCTGAGAACATAAGATTATAATATGTAAAGAGATATGCTTAGGGTTCTATGAGATTACAAAGGAGAGACATCAAAGTCTGACTCCGGTTCAGACAAGTCTATCCAGATGAAGCATAGTTTTTGAGGATTTGTTTTGTTTTGTAAACAGAATTGATAGCTTGGAGGGACGGAAGCTAAAGATGGTATAACTGTAACAACGTGGAGGTATGGAAGTGTATTAAACATTTGGGGAACTATAAGCAATTAAATATGCCTGGAATGAAGAACTCATATTGGACAGTTGTAGAATATAGCTAAAGAGGCAGTCAGGAGTCATATAATGAAGGACTTTGTCTTCTCTGCTTCAGGAGCCAGTGAAGAATTAGGAGTCGAAGAGTGACATAATCATGTTTCTATTTTAGAAAGATCACTTTGGCAGCAATGTGTATCATAACTTCTGAGCTGTGTAGGATGAAGTTAGGAAGAGTGTAGTCTAAAGAATAATGTAGACAAAAAGTGATGGGGGTCTGGCCAACCAGGCATTAGCAATGACAGTGGAGAGAAAGGATGATTAGGGAGAAATTATGAAAATATTATAGAATCTTAAGGTCTTGGATGTGAAAGGTGAGAATTCACAATGACTTTCAGGTTTTTGTATTGTTTTTATGGTACTGAAATAGGATATCTCAAAAAGAAAAAAAGCAAGTTTAGGAGGAAAAATTAAGATTTTGAGTTCCATTGTTTTGAATTTACTGAATTTTTTCTGTCCTAGGAACATTTAAGTAATTGTCTCTAGAGACCTGGAACTCAGGAAAGTTCTGGGCCACTGATATAGATATGTTAGGAGTATGTAAACTTAGATATTTGAAATTCCTGGAGTGAATACATTCATCTATTCATTTAGCAGATATTTTTTAAGAACCTGTTATGAGTTACACACTATTCTAGGGGATGCAGAGAGAGCAAAACACATAAATCCCTGACTTCATGGAAATAGCATGGAGGAAAGAGACCAATAAACTAAATGAATACGTATGGCTAGTGAGTTAGGCAAACAACAAGGAGTAGGGTGAGCAAGGGTGAGAATGGAGATAAAGGGGATTATGTAAGCCTTATTGGTCGTGGTAGGAACTTTTGTTCTTATTTTTTGGGAGCTGTGGAGACATTGGAAGGATTTGAACAGAAGCATGACATGATCTGGTGTGTGTGGATGATATCGCCAAAGGATGGAGTAGAGAATGTAAAGAATAGAGGGGAAAAGATAGGGCCTTTGTAAACACCAGTCTTTTAAAGAGTTGTGTTGAGATAACATTCACAAACTTTTCAATTCACCCATTTAAAGTATTCAGTTTAATGGTTCTTTGTATATTCACAGAATTTTGCTGACCATTGCTACAATATAATTTTAGAACATTTGTCACCCCTAAAAGAAATCCCATACCTATTAATGGTCACTACTCAGTATCCACCTCCCAACCCTAAGCAACCACTAATCTACTTACTGTCTCAATAGATTTGCCTATTCTGGACTTTTCACGTGTATGGAATTGTATAATATGTGTTCTTTCATTGAATGACTACTTTCATTTAGCATGTTTTCAAGGTTCATCTATGTTGAAGCATGTGTCAGTACTTTATTCCTTTTTATTGTTCAGTAATAGTCTATTGTGTAGATATGTCACATTTTATTTATCCATTCTTCAATTGGTATACATATGAGTCATTTCCACTTTTTTGGCTGTTATGTGTGTTATGTGTAATGTTGGTATGAACATTTGTGTGCAATATTTGTGAAGTTGTGAAGATCTATGTTTTCATTTCTCTGTATATATATCGAGGAGTGGAATTGCCGGATCACGTGGCATCTCATATTTAACCTTTTAAGCAACTGCCAAACTATTTTCCAAAGTGATGGAAACAGTAATATTTAAGGGACTAGTGGAGAAACTGGTATAAAAAATGTCTAGAGATAACAAGGAGAAAGCCAGAAAGTTATAACTACCTTAGTTTCCTTTTTCTCCTTCAAATTTTATTCCTTATACCTCATAAACAAGTATCCGTCCCAATGCTGATGACTTATTTCAAGCACTGATCATCTCCCTGGTGCTCTGTGCCACACCATTACCATAATCTCTTTACTCATTTTGCCTTCTGTTTTGCCCTCTAATACATTCCAGTTCTGTTTTCTTTCCAGTTCCATCCCAGATCCTTCTGGTAGAGATTAAGTTTGTGAATTCCTTACGTGTATACCTTTGCTCTCTTGCACAGACTGAATAGTTGCTTAGGAAACATTTGAGACAGATGCACTTTTTTTCCTTGTTTTTGTTTTTTGGTTTTTTTTTACTTTTTAAAAAATGTTTGTTTATTTTGAGAGAGAGAGAGAGTGAGTGTGCTCAAATTGGGGAGGGCAGAGAGAGACGGGGACAGAGGATCTGAAGCAGGCTCTGCACTGACAGCAGCAAGCCCAATGTGGGCTTTATCTCATGAACCATGAGATCATGGCCTGAGCTGAAGTCACACTTAACTCACTGAGCCACCCAGGTACGCTGAAGTACACTTTCTAGTCCAAAACAAAGTGGGTAATTCTTTCATTATATGATTACTTATGCAACAACTTTTGATTTGCTATTTATTGAAGATGTTTAAGAAAAGCAATATTATATTGTTTAACATTTGTTTTAATACAGGCAATTTTATATGATGACAAAGGAGAATGTTTGGAGAGTATATTTCTTAAGTGCCTTGAGGTATTTTAATGTTTCTATCTTATTTTTAAGTTATCTAAATCTCTATATTTAAGTTAAAAACATCTCTTTTTTTCCTTTATGAATATTGTCAAATACTGTTAGTGTTACTATTAGTGTTACTATAGTATTAATTATAGTTAGTACTTATTGAACATTTATTATTAGCCACACTCTGTGCTAAAAACTTTTAGATATTGTTTCATTTAATCTTTCCACAACCCTGTGATTTTTATAGATTAGGAGTGCAGTACAGAAAAGTTAAGTAACTTGCTCATGTTCATAGAGTTACAGTGGTAGGGCTGGGATTTGAACCCAGGAAGTGACCCTATATCCTAACTCTATTACATGATCTTGATAGGCTGAGAACTACAGTGGGAAATATTTTGTGAAATTATTCCTATTTATAATATTTTCTCAATTATTCTCTGTTTTTCCCTTTTGGAGGGAAAAAAAGGGAACTAAAGGCAATTTCAGTGTAAAGAATAAGGCTATTAAAGTAGGTCATTCTGGGTTCATGTCCCACTTTCAAATGCTTCCTAGCTAACCTCTCTCTGTGTCTAACTTCTCTACTGTTTATAAAATACAGACAATAGACAGATTTCATTGTGTTGGTCTAAAAATTAGAAATAATGTATGTGAAGTGCTTAGCAGTTCAGTATGGTGATTCTAAAAGTGTTAAAATGCATATTCTTGTTATCATTGTGTTGATTTTGACCATGGTGTTAAATCTTTTAAAATTTTTAAAGAAAAAAATTTTTAATGTTTATTTATTTTTGAGACAGAGAGACAGAGCATGAACAGGGGAGGGGCAGAGAGAGAGGGAGACACAGAATCTGAAACAGGCTCCAGGCTCTGAGCTGTCAGCACAGAACCCGATGCGGGACTTGAACCCATGAACCGTGAGATCATGACCTGAGCCAAAGTCGGGTGCTTAACCGACTGAGCCACCCAGGCGCCCCATAAATCTCCTAAAATTTTATGTGACATTAATAGTGGTTGTGGTATCTTTATATTTATCATAAAGAGGAAAAGCACTATCTCCGTAGATGCTTAATTGGGCCTAACTACTGTTATTTCATTTTACTTTTTTTTTTTTTTTTTTTTTTTTTTTTTTTTCTTCAACGTTTATTTATTTTTGGGACAGAGAGAGACAGAGCATGAACGGGGGAGGGGCAGAGAGAGAGGGAGACACAGAATCGGAAACAGGCTCCAGGCTCTGAGCCATCAGCCCAGAGCCTGACGCGGGGCTCGAACTCCCGGACCGCGAGATCGTGACCTGGCTGAAGTCGGACGCTTAACCGACTGCGCCACCCAGGCGCCCCTGTTATTTCATTTTAAATCATTTACTAATGAGTAAAGACTAAGCACATTGTGTGAGATAATACACAGATTTTGTGTATTACCAGGGGTTAATAATCTTATTTTTATGCTACAGAGATGGTGGCAGGTGCTATGTTTTTTGGGTTTTTTTTATTAAAAAATTTTTTTTGTTTTTAATGTTTATTTTTTGAGAGAGAGATTGACAGAGTGTGAGCAGGGGAGGGGCAGAGAGAGAGAGGAAGACGTAGAATCTGAAGCAGGCTCCAGGCTCTGAGCTGTCAGCACAGAGCCTGATGTGGGGCTCGAACCCACAAACCGTGAGATCATGACCTGAGCTGAAGTCAGACACTCAACCGACTGAGCCACCCAGGCGCCCCTGTTTTGTTTTTTCAAAGTATTTATGGGGTGTCTGGGTGGCTCCGTCAGCTAATCATCCAGCCTCAGCTCAGGTCATGATCTTATGGTTTGTGAGTTCGAGCCCATGTCGGGCTGTGTGCTGACAGAGCCTGGAGCCTGCTTCGGATTCTGTGTCTCCCTCTCTCTCTGCCCTTCCCCCACTCACACTCTGTCTCTCTGTCTCTCAAAAATAAACATCTTAAAAAATATATTTTGTTTATTCAAGTAATTAAAATGCATTTTTGGAGTATGATTATTTCAGCAATTTCAGTTAATAATTTATAATATTTCAGTTAATAATTTATAATAATATTTAATTTGTAATAATTATGAGCATATAATTCATCTGAATTTATAAGGATAAATATATAATTGCTATTTAATAGCTCTAATTTAAAAAATTACGTTTAGTTCCTGGTGAACTCCTTGAAAGAGGGCATACTTGTGCTGTTTGTCATTGTACATCCTGCATGCAACAAAGGGTCTCATATGTGTATTATTGGATACATAAATTGGTGACAATTTTTTTGCTGTATTGTTCCTTTTTGTGCTTCTTAACTAGTACATAATAATAAATAAAGACTTAGTTATCAATTAATACATTTAACAATTATTTATCGAATACCTATTGTGTCTTGCTAGTAGTGTTAGTGACCTACTGGAACACAGAATCCAGTAATTAGATACATGTGATTTTGAATTTATGTTTTAGAACTTATTTGTTCTTTAAAATGTATTGTTTAAAATTTAGGTGAAGCCTGGAGATGACTTAGAAGGTGACCGATACTTAATCACAGTTGAGGAGGTTAAAGTTGCTGGAAGCATAGCTATTAAACAGGATGTCAGTAAAGAAGCACCAGAGTTAAGTCCAAGGACATTTCTATCCTCTGGCCGATCCCTTGGATGTCAGCCTGCTGGTTTAAAAAGGAAGTTTACTGTAAGTTTATCTGTTGAAAATAATAAGTCAATATATATTTATAATATTGTTCCAAGAAGTAGTGAATTTGAAGCTATTGTACTCTGTATCATTAAAATGGTACTTCATAATATATGTTTAGGTAGGGAAGTAAACCCTAATTAGAAAAATCTTAATACAAATGAGCATTTACATTTTAATTTAGCAGATTTTATATCTTTATTACTGTACCTGGTAAAACAGACTCCTTTTTTTCTTTCTGTTTTTTTGAGCCAGTTCATTTTACACTTCCTTTGTAGATAATGGGACAGCTAATAATTGTTTTAATATTTTTAGGGTTTTCAAGGACCACGTCAAGTGCCAAAGAAAATGATGAATACAGAAAATGGTGAATCAACTGCATCACTTGAGGCTAAGAAACCTGGCCCTAATTTTCTTTCTCCCTTGTACAGCACACCTCCTTTGTTTTCTACTGCTGGCAAGAAAGATATAAATAATATGCCAATAGACCCTGAGAACATTGTCACTTACAGGAATAGAGAAGCAAATGGCTTACGTTTTTCTTCAGTTGTCTCTACTCCATCTTTTAAGAGTAACCCAGAAATGCTATGTGAAGAAAATTATTCTTGCTTTCCTGTCTGTTCTGTAAATAAGCATTCAGATTCTTTACTGACCAATGAGGCCATAAAAAAAGATGGTTTGATATCTCACTGTTTGGGAGTTTCACAAAACGTCAGAAGCAAAGCACATATATTAGCTCTTTTGAAGTCCAAGTCAACTATGTGTAAGGAGCTAAATTCTGGGATTACAGAACATATCCCTCAGATACAACTGCAAGGAAGTATAAACATTCCTACTAAACCAAAGTGCATAATTGAACAGAAGGAGTGTGCTGACGTGAAGAGCACAGAAAGTTTACACGACCGACATCAATCAGAAAAAAACGTGAGAAATAAAAGCCGGTGGGCCATGTATTTATCCTCACAGAGCTCACCTGTACATTCTTCTAGTGAAGATGGAAATAATATAGAAAGGAAACCCAAGGCCCAGGGAGACAATATAGATTTAAATTTGAGAGACCTTTTGGTACAAGAAAAGATACAGTTCTTTGAAACATGTGCTGAAGAGGGTAAAAAGTATAATGAAGACAAGCCAGTAGATGCTAATGATCAATTTTGGGATCAGGAAGTAAAACTGGAAATTCCTTCATTCTGTGAAAGCAACCATATACCAGTTACCTGTAGCAATGTAGAGAATGATGGCTTATTATCCGAGCCTGACATTCAAAAAAATAATAAAATACCTGTTAATGAAAATGACCAGATGTGTCTAAAAGGATCAGTTCTCATTAGAGAAAATACTCAGGAGATAAATATATGTAGAACACCAGAAAAGGAGTACAAACAGCCAGTGTCGTTTCTGCCAGAATCTGAACATCTACAGATTGAATCTTCTAGAAGTAAAAATTCTAGGGTCTCTGATGACTTTACCAGCATGCTTTCTAACAGTAATACTGATAGTGAAAGTCTTAATAGTATTCCCAAACCTATGAGCAATGTAACACAGCCACTTGTGGAGGTGACTTTTAATCTGAACAATTTTGAAACCAGTGACACTGAGGAGGAGTCACAGGAAAACAACAAAATTTCCCAGGATTCAGGGAGTCGTGTAAAGGAAACTTTGGTTAATGACAGTAGTCCAGATGTTCAAAAGAGATGTGAAGATATAAGCTGTACAGAAGTTGGCAGTAAACATTTGTCTCTCTTAACGTCTATTGGGGATAAACCTACAAAGACATTTCCTATTAAAGAGACTCTTCTATCACAATTTTGTGATAAAGCTTATGTGGCTTTTGACACAGGACCTTGGAAAGCTGAAAACGTTAGAAAAGGAACAGAAGAGTACAGTGACACATTAAGCAATTTTGACTCATCCTTAGAATGGACTGATGATGTATATGTAGATAATAATGAAGATGCTAATAAATCTATTCAAAAAGTGAGAATTAACTATGATACTGCTTCACTACTGAGTAAATCTAAAGATGTCAGCTCGAATTTACATATTCCTCATTTAAATATAGTCATTAATCAGACTCCTGAAAATAGCCTATTCTCAGACCAGGAGGAGCCTCAGCCTTTTGTTATGGGAAGTAATGTAGACAAAAACGATGAATGGGTTTTACCATCAACTTCTAGCAGTGATATCAGTATCCAACAATTAAATGTCAATCAGAATCACTCTGAAGAATGTGTTGCACTTGATAAATCAAATACCCAAGTTTCTAATTCTTTGTTTTACCCTCTGGGAAAAAAGCGTCCAATTTCCAAAGACACAGAAGCGTGTATTCCTGAACCTGAAGATTTGGGAAGGATTAGAAGTTTAGACCATGACCGTATTGATGTAGAAACTGTTGGAGAAAGCAAACAATACTGGAATATTCCTAGAAATCCTTCAGAACTCTCTGGATTAGTAAATAACATTTCCCTTTTAAAGTCATTGTCTGAACATAGTACGGCTTTAGAAGGCTTGGAAATATTGAAAAAGAAAAATACAACCTTTAAGCAACAAGGAACTCTGGAGACATGTGAGCCAGACAGCAATCCTGAAGGTTAGATTGGTGTGTTTGTTTTGGATTGTTCTCTGTATAACTGTAAGGATGAGAAGTATTTGCTTTGGAGGCTACGTTAAAGAATTACATGGTATTGGTGCATCTGGGTGGCTTAGTCGGTTGAGTGTCCAACTCTTGATTTTGGCTCAGGTCGTGATCTCATGGTTCGTGGTTTCGAGTCCTGCGTTGGGCTCCATGCTGATAGTGCAGGGCCTGTTTGGGATTCTCTGTCTCTCTCCCTCTCTGCTCATTGTCTCTCTCTCTCTCTCTCTCTCTCTCTCTCAAAATAAATAAACTTAAGAATTACATAGTATTTAAATAGGTAATACATGTACTTGGTAAAATCAGTTCTAATAGATAATCTAGTAAGTTCTGCAGTCCCTCAGTCCAATCCTCAGAATTAGCCACAGTTTCCTTCCAGGATATCCTTCTGCAAATGTTTTATGCATATATAAACATATATAGGCATATATAAGCAATATGTGTGTGAATATCCATTCCTGTCTTACATTTTTAGATGTGTGCTAGAAGATGCTTTTTCTTTTTTTTTTTTGAGAGAGAGCGCAAGTGAGCAAGGGGCAGAGAGACAGAGAGGGGGAGAGAGAAGTGGGGCTCACACTCACCCGAAGCAGGGCTCGAGTTAATGAACCCTAAGATCATGACCTGATCTGAAGTCAGAGGTTCATCTGACTGAGCCACCCAGACACCCTGCTGGAAGATACTTTTAAAAAATAATCATGAGTTCATATTGATATCTCTAATTCCAGTTCTAAACCACAGGGTTCTTCCTGTCCTTCCATTTCATGATTATATTTCTTTACTTCTAAAATGAGAAGGGGCCCTGGTTCCCAACAACATCCGTATATTTACTTCCTCAATTCTACATACAATACACATCAAATAGCTTCCAAATTGTTATACTAGTATCACTACTAGCAAAAAAACCTTTACAAGTTTGTGAAGTTCACAAATCCTTTGATTTTTTTTTTTTGTTTTTTTTGTTTTTTTGGTTTTTTTTTTAGAATGTATCCTGGGAATATAGAGTTGGAGTATTATGTTCAAAAGTTACTTGGGTTACTTTTCTTTACTGTGATTGTAGTATCATTTGATGTAAATATAGTTAAGTTTATTGTTTATATTTCAGTATGAGGGGTTTTTTGTTCAACCTTGTTGATTTATTTTTATTTCTGACTATGTAAAATATGAACCTAGTTAAGAGTCAAAGCTGTATGAAAACATAAATTCATATGCCTTCCTTAAGCCTTTTATCCTGTTCTTACTCACCTGCTATATGTAACCAATATATCATACCTGTGTTTCTTTTTTGCAAAAATAAACAGCTCTATGTTTAAATTCTTGTCCCCCCCTCCGCCCCCGACACACACATATTCAACAAAAGACAGTAAAGTCTGTATATTCTTTAGCACCTACTTTTCACTTAATATATTCTGGAAATCACTTCATATCAATTCATAGGACACATCCTCATTTTATTTGTTTATATCTGTGTAATACTCCGCTGTGTGGATCCGCTGTGTGGATAAACCATCATTTATGCAACCTGTCTCCAATACTTTGCTATTACAAATAATGTGACAATACATAACCGTGTGTGTGTGTGTGTGTGTGTGTGTGTGTTGCATATTGTTTGAGGTGTGTCTTCAGGGCAAATTCCCAGTAGGTTTGCTGCGTAAATGCGTGACTTTATTAGATATTTCAACATTCCCTCCATTTCGTAGCCCTGTCAGTAATGTTTGAGAGTGCTTGTTTCTCTAGTCTTGCCAATATAGTGTGTTACCAAGCTTTTGAATTTTGCTAATCTAATAGATGAGAAATGGCATTCAGTATACTTAAATTTGCATTTCTCTTACTACAAGTGAAATTGAGCATCTTTTCATATGTTTAAGTATCATTTATATATCTTTTTTTCATGAATTTTCTTACCCTTTTGTCCAGATTTTAATGGGTGTTGTTCTTTTTATTCTCATTGATTTGTAAGGGTTCTTTATATATTAGAGATACTAGCCTCTTATCTATGATATATGTTGCAGATATTTTCTTTCAGTATAGTATTGGTCTTCTGACTTTGCTTATGGTATGTTGCCAACAGCAACATTTTTTTTTAAAGAAAAACTATTATAGAACATATTAGTAAATATAGCAAATATTATATACATATGAATGTGAATGAACAATGTACTTTATGATACTCAAAGAGAAGTTAAAATTGAATTCTTATTTGAATATCTCAAGGATTCCTGAGAAAAATAGGAATAAATTATTATATGTACTGATATGTTTCTTTAAGTTTGTTTGTTTGTTTATTTATTTATTTGAGTGAGAGAAAGGGGTAGAGAAAGCACAAGTATGGGAGGAACAGAAAGAGAAGGAGAATCCCAAGCAGGGGCTCGAACTCACAAACTGTGAGATCATGACTTGAGCCAAAACCAAGAGTTGGCCAGCTTAACCAACTCAGCTACCCAGGCACCCCTGATATGTTTCTTTAAAATGTAGTTGTTTGCAATAGCCAAATTGTGGAAAAAGCCTAAATGTCCATCAACTGATGAGTGGATAAAGAAATTGTGGTTTATATACACGATGGAATACTACTTGGCAATGAGAAAGAATGAAATATGGCCTTTTGTAGAAACGTGGATGTAACTGGAGAGTGTTATGCTAAGTGAAATAAGTTGTACAGAGAAAGACAGATACCATATGTTTTTACTCATGTGGATCCTGAGAAACTTAACAGAAGACCATGGGGGAGGGGAATGGGAAAAAAAGTTGGAGAGGGAGGGAGACAAACCATAAGAGACTCTTAAAAACTGAGAATAGGGGCGCCTGGGTGGCTCAGTCGGTTAAGCGGCCAACTTTGGCTCAGGTCATGATCTCGCGGTCCATGAGTTCGAGCCCCGCGTCGGGCTCTGTGCTGACAGCTCAGAGCCTGGAGCCTGTTTTAGATTCTGTGTCTCCCTCTCTCTGACCCTCCCCTGTTCATGCTCTGTCTCTACCTGTCTCAAAAATAAATTTAAAAAAACGTTAAAAAAATTTAAAAACTATAAAAAAAACTGAGAATAAACAGGGTTGATGGGGGTGGAAGGGAGGAGAAAGTGGGTGATGGGCATTGAGGAGGGCACCTGTTGGGATGAACACTGGGTGTTGTATGGAAACCAATTTGACAATAAATTTCATATTAAAAAATAAAGTAAAAATAAAATTTAATTTCATTTAAAAAATGTAGTTGTTTGATGGCAGTTGATAGTTTGTTTTCTAAAAATTAAAAAGAAAGAAGAAATTTTAATGAAAAATAAGTAGGGGTAGATATGATTATGTAATATATAAGGATGTAAATCCCTAGTATGAAGACTTGAGAATTATAGAATTTAGTTTTAAGAAATCTTTTTTCTCATCAAGTTAAAAAGAGGATTGCAGTTGATTCTTCTTATTTGTGGTAGTTATATTCTATAAAATCAACATAAACACTGAATTAGTGAAAAATGAGTCATTGCTTTTAGGGGTAGATTCCTTCAAGCCTCTGGTCAAAGCATTTTCATCAACTGATCAAAATCTTGTTTTTATCTGTGTTTCCATTTGAAGACAATATATATTGTTGATCCATTAACATTGAATTTGTAGTGAACAGCACTATGACTAATGTCTGAAAGAAACCTCTGTCTAGGGGCGCCTGGATGGCTCAGTTGGTTAAGCGTCCAACTCTTGGTTTTCGGCTCAGGTCATAATCTCAGTTTGTGAGTTGGAGCCACACATCAGGCTCTGTGCTGACAGTGCAGAACCTGCTTGGGATTCTCTCTCTCTCTCTCTCCCCCTTTCTTTCTGCCCCTCCCCTGCTTGCACTCTCTCTCTGTCTCTCTCAAAATAAATAAATAAAAAAGAAAAAAGAAACTCATCTAACATATGTTCTGTCTGTAAGGGACATCACAGCCTTCTTGCACTTAGCAACACTAGACAGCACTATGCTTAGGGAACATTTTAAATAGCACAGTCCTTTACAAAAAGCCCCCAAATACAAAAACATGGGCTAAGTAGATGACAAAAAGGATACTTGTTTATAGTATGAGAGCTCAAGAAGGCAGAGTGTTGCCTTGTTCTACCTCAGCTGGGAATGTATATGTCGGGCAACTTATTTTTTGTAGTTCTGTATGTCTACAAACGACCTCAAAAACAGGGTATTGATTTGGGGTTTCTGAATAAATTTTAGTGCGTAGGTAAGATCTGTGAGTAAGGAAGATTAACTGTATTTGTTTTCTGATATAAATGTATTTCTTCAAAAAGGAATGTTGGTTTTCTTAAGACAATCTGAGAAAATTAATACAGAATTAGAGATGAGTCAGTTTTACCACCAATTTAGGATGTGTGAATGTGTTTAAAAAATTTTTTTTCTTCAGTAGGTTAAAGTTTTTATGAGATAATTAAGAATAACTTTGAAATGTTAATTTAGAATTTTATTCTTGAGTGAAGGCAATCAAGGAAAACACACCAATTTTCATGCAGTGCATGAAAATCTTTTTAAAAATAGCATCAAGTTCCAAGACCCACTTATTTTTATTTCATTTAATGTATTCTGAATTTTAACAGGAAAATAATGAAACCATAAATAACAATTGACTAAAAAGTTATAGTGTTTGTGACTTTAGAAGGAATTGAAATGATTGAATATGCACTTTTCTTTAAGAAAAAAAAAATCCTATTTTGAAGCAAGGTAGGATGGCCTGGCCACCATGTCTTTTGTATTCAGTAGACTTGTCAACTTCTCTGTCTCAAGAGTCTTTTTACTTGTGCCTTTGTTCTCAACACCTTTACCCCTGGCATAGCTGGTGGCCTTTTCTTATATTCAGATCTCAACTTAAGTATCACTTCCCACAAGAGAGCTTTCCAATCATCATATCTACATTAGTCTCTGTCATATCAACCTTTATGATGCCCTTTTGTATCATAATCTGAATTTATGCGGTTTGTTTATTCTGTGGCTCTCCCTTTTCAAGGGACTGCTGTTTTCCCAGTGTCTGGCATAATACACTTTGGAAATAATTGAAGTTTTTTTTTTCTCAAACCATAGTCAAATGGGTTTAAAATAGACCCAGAAATAGCATGAAGTTCTTCTTTTCTTTTCTGTGTTTGCACATAGCAGCTGTATAGGGTGGTCTTGGCTTTCTTCTAACAGTTAATGTTTCATTTTTAGAATTTTTAGTATAGATTATTAGCTGTTTACTCAGTTTTTCAATTAGTTTGACGAAAGGAAGCATTTCTAGTACTGACTTAGAACATAACCAAAAAAAATCTTATTTAAAAATTTTTATCATGAAAATGTTTGAACATACAGAGAATAGACAATGAATCCTCAGATATCCAAAATCCATATTCAACAATTATCAAGACTACCTTATCTTCAAATTTAAGTTGTATTCCTTGTTTCATTCAGTTTTAGGTGGTTTTTTAAAGATTTTATTGTTATTATTTTAAATGTCTATTTTGAGAGAGCGTACACAGTCTCGTGCAAGTGGGAGTTGGGGGGAGGCAGAGAGAAGGAGAGAGAGAATCTTAAGCAGGCTCTGTGCTGTCAGCATGGAGGCTTGATCTCTCATGAGATCATGACCTGGGCTGAAATCAAGCATCAGATACTTAACCGACTGAGCCACCCAGGTACCCCCAAAGATTTTATTATTTTTAAGTAGTATCTATACCCAGTGTGGGGTTGAACCTACAACCCCGACATCAAGAGTTGTCATCATCAACTGGGCCAGCCAGGTGCCCCTAGAAATAAGTTTTTAAAAAGTTTAAAACACTACTATATGTATGATGAATAAAATAATTTCATTTTATCTATTATAGCTAGGAAACCATTGACTGAAGTAGTTTCACAAACTTTACCAAAGTTTCCTCATCTGAACCAGGATTCTCAACAGGTACGTCTTTTTTTTTTTTTTTTCCTATCAGCATATTCTTATATTTTGATATAGAATGTTGTCATTAGTAATGAAATTACAGTAATATAAAGGGTTCCAAGCTATCTTGCTTCATGACTCTCCCACACTTTGTATCAGAATATTTTTCATTATATCCCTTGGCTAAAAGGAAAAAAGAAAAACCAAACTGGCAGTTCCATTTATTAAGTTGTTAGTAGTATTAAACAACATAGTAAGTATTATGTCCTAGTAATTTAGTGAGCTTTTTATTTTTTCCATTTTCATTGATATAAAAGATATAACATTGTGATCAGTTTAAGGTGTACAACATAATGATTTGATATATGTATAGTGAAATGATTACTGTAAACATTTTATTTATTTTTAATTTTTAGTTTATTGTTTAATTTACATACAAGTTAGTTAGCATATGGTGCAACAATGATTTCAGGAATAGATTACTTAATGCCCCTTGCCCTTTTAAACCATCCCCCCCCCAACCCCTCCAGCAACTCTCTGTTCTCTATATTTAAGTCTTTTAGTTTTGCCTCCCTCCCTGTTTTTATATTATTTTTGTTTCCCTTCCCTTATGTTCATCTGTTTTCTATCTTAAATTCCTCATATGAGTGAAGTCATATGATATTTGCCTTTCTCTGACTACTTTCGCTTAGCATAATATCCTCCAGTTCCATCCATGTAGTTGCACATGGCAAGATTTCATTCTTTTTGATTGCTAAGTAATACCCCATTGTATGTATGTGTATATATATATATATATACATACATACATACCACATCTTTATCCATTTATCCGTCAGTGGACATTGGGCTCTTTCCATACTTTGGCTATTGTCAATAGTACTGTTGTAAACTTTGGGGTGCATGTGCCCCTTCAAAACAGCTCACCTGTATCCCTTGGATAAATACCTAGTAGTGCAATTGCTGGGTTGTAGGGTAGTTCTATTCTTAATTTTTTTTTTAATTTTTTTTTCAACGTTTATTTATTTTTGGGACAGAGAGAGACAGAGCATGAACGGGGGAGGGGCAGAGAGAGAGGGAGACACAGAATCGGAAACAGGCTCCAGGCTCTGAGCCATCAGCCCAGAGCCTGACGCGGGGCTCGAACTCCCGGACCGCGAGATCGTGACCTGGCTGAAGTCGGATGCTTAACCGACTGCACCACCCAGGCGCCCCAGTATTCTTAATTTTTTGAGGAACCTCCATATTGTTTTCCAGAGTGGCTGCACCAGCTTGCATTGCCACCAGCAGTGCAAAAGAGATCCTCTTTCTCTGCATCCTCGCCAACATCTGTTGTTGCCTGAGGTGTTCATGTTAGCCATTCTGACAGGTGTAAGGTGGTATCTCATTGTGGTTTTGATTTGTATTTCCCCAATGATGAGTGATGTTGAGCATTTTTTCATGTGTCGGTTGGCCATCTAGATATCTTCTTTGGAGAAATATGTATTCATGTCTTTTGCCCATTTCTTCACTGGATTATTTGTTTTTTGGGTGTTGAGTTTGATAAGTTCTTTACAGATTTTGGATACTAACCCTTTATCTGATATATCATTTGCAAATATCTTCTCCCATTCTGTCGGTTGCCTTTTAGTTTTGCTGATTGCTTCCTTCGCTGTGCAGAGCTTTTTATTTTGATGAGGTCCCAAGAGTTCATTTTTGCTTTTGTTTCCCTTGCCTCTAAAGATGTGTTAAGTAAGAAGTTGCTGTAAGCATTTTATTTTTAAACACAATCACTGATAGAATGTATGCATTTGTTGGGCACTGCTCAGCTTCTCAAACCTTAGAATAATTAGTTCACGTTGTTTTTCTCATGGTAATTGATTTTTTTTTATCATAGCAATTTCTGAAAACTCAGCTTTACAAGGTGCCATTGAGAGAAATGACATAAGATCTGTTGAAATAGAACTACCTTGAGTTAGTAGTTCATTCAATAGAGGTCAAATGACACTGTATTTCCCTTAAATTTAAAATATCTTATGGAGCCCATGTTGAGTTTCCTGTGGCACCCCAAAGTACCTTGAACAGTTTGGGAACCATTGTAGTAATATAAAAATAATAGTACTAATTAGATACATTGAAATTCTAGAATAAAATTAATTTATTAGAATAAATCTAAATTCTTGTTTCTCAGTGGGGATACTATTAGCATATTTGGAGGGATAATTCATATGACACTTTTTCGAGAAGATATATTTAAAAGAAAAGAAAGTGAAATGTTTCATTTGCCCCACTTTGTATCTTACTCTGTTTTCCATGTTACTGTTTTTTTTTTAATAATCTTGATGTTTTCTCTTTTTTAATTATAGAATAAAGTGAAGAAAAATAAAACAACCTACTGAGGGATAATTATTATTAGTGTTTCCAGGATTTTTTGACCTATTTTTAAAAATATGGTTAGCTTGATGTGTGCCAGTAGTTTTTATCTTATCCCCTTAATGTATTTCTCACATCATTAAAACACTTATTAAATATATCTTTTATTAATTTATTTTATTTTTTTACCTGCTTGGTGAATAGGTTTATTATTATCTTTAATCTGAAAAATCTTCAAAGAAAATAATGGTTTGGTTTATTAGCTCTCAGCAGCCGATCCTGCGCTTTAAGGAAGCTGCCTTCTCAGCTACTCGATCTTTCTTCTGGGCAAGAGACATTTTGGAATGGTTCCACCTTTTCTTTTTAACTTCTTTCTTAGGCTTCTCTCAAAGATTGGATTCTCTTGTACAGCAGCATGAGCTTTCTTATACATCTCCATCATGCCTGGAGTTACATTGTTCTTTATCAAGAGAATTGTTTCTTGTAAGCATCTCAGTCTCCTTCCATTAGTGACACATATAATCTGCAGCATTCTGACCCAGGATGTGCTTCTGATGTATTTCTGCATTGAATTCCTTGCTTTCCCAATCATAACCAAGGAATCTTTTGGTACTATGAGGGGTAGAGAAACCTCCATCCACAAGTCCCTTGAGGGCCTCCCAAACTTCATTTTCAGTAGGGGTTCTGGCAAGCCCTGCATCCAAATAGCAGACGAAGGCACCAGATTGACCATCAGTGCTTTCCACGTTGTATTCATCTTGTCACCTCCACTTGGCCTTCATAGACTTTTGTCCATGCCAAACCTACTGAGAAGCCTGTGGACCAGCAGCATGCCAGTACACTATGCTGCAGCATGATTTGTCAGGCCAACCTTCACACCGTACTTTGGGAGTTCATGCCCATGAGCTGTACAAACTAGTGTATCTCCTTTAGGGGCATTAGCAATCTGACAAATGAGATCTCTGTTTGTTACACAAATTACCATCCTGTATTAAGGTGTGTTGTACTTATTTTTATCCTGAATCGCCGAGCATTTCAAAGCATTGTAATCAGTTTTGTTTTCTTGTCTTCTAAATTTCACTTGGTATCTCTTGAAATCAGTCTTATTCTTGACAACTTTAATAAACCCCATCCTGCGGAACAGAGTTTGGCATTGGGGGCTTGCTACTGGGTACTGACCAGCAGTTAAATATATCTTTTAGAGGTTACTTACTATTCCGTCCTATGGATATCCTGTGCTTTGGACAAGCAGTGCCCTATTTTGAACATTTAGGTTATTTCCAGCATTTTGCTAGGATAAATAAAATATTAGTAAATGTTTTTGCACATGAATCATTGCTTACATTTAAGTTATTTCCTTAGATGTGAGTCCCAGAAGTGGAACTGATAGCTTGAAAGGCTAAGAACAATTTTCTTGATATATATTGTCAAATTTAAAAGTCTTACTGTTTTACAATATGAATATTTATTTCACTCTACATTCACCAGTACTAAGATATTTTCAATTCTTGCTAAGTAAAATAGTGTTTCATTAACATTTTTTACTTCCTTGATTATTAGTGATGGTGTTCTTTTATTTCTTATGTCTAATTGAAATTTATGTATTTTTTGTAACTTACTACTACCTTTTAGTTGTTCTTATATTAATATTCTGTTCCTAAGATTATAAAAGAAAATGAAGTCAAACCAAGTGGACCACTTCAGTCTTTGCAGGTATGTTCATTTTGAAACTATAAAGTAGCCAGAAATTATAGTTGTATATATAGGTATGGCATATAATTTTATGTTTGTATTTTACATTGTCAGTTTTCAGTCTCATGTATCTTATTTTTTATTTTTTAATTAATTAATTTATTTTTGAGAGAGAGAGACAGTATGTGTGTAAGTAGGAGAGGGGCACAGAGAGAGGAAGAGAGAGAGAATCTTAAGGTCATGATCGTGAGATCATGACCTGAGCCAAAATCAAAAGTCAGATGCTTAATGCCTGAGCCACCCAGGCACCACTAGTTTTCAATCTCATTTATAATTAGTTGCTCCTTTATACTTACTTAGATGATCCTGCTATCTTTTGTACCAATGCCTGTGTGGTCAATGCAATTTGGTTATATAACAAATCTTTTATTATAAAACTAAGTCTGTAAACTTTGTAAGCATTACTTAATCCAAGAATTGTCATTGACAATTAAAGCTGCACCTGCAACTCCTTTGCCTAAAAGAGAACAAAACATAACAAATAAAATTCATATTGTGGTGGCTCAATCATGTTTCACACTTTATGTATATAATAAGAGCAAATGTATAAAATCAAAATTAGCAACTGCATAATTTAGCTTATAAATGGTCACTTTTTTTTTTTTAAATATTTATTTATTTTTGAGACAGGGAGAGACAGCATGAACGGGGGAGGGTCAGAGAGAGAGGGAGACACAGAATCTGAAACAGGCTCCAGGCTCTGAGCTGTCAGTACAGAGCCTGACGCGGGGCTCAAACTCACAGACCGCGAGATCATGACCTGAGCCGAAGTCGGACGCTTAACCGACTGAGCCACCCAGGCACCCCTCTTTTTTTTTTTTTTTTTTTTTTCCAACGTTTATTTATTTTTGGGACAGAGAGAGACAGAGCATGAACGGGGGAGGGGCAGAGAGAGAGGGAGACACAGAATCGGAAACAGGCTCCAGGCTCTGAGCTGTCAGTACAGAGCCTGACGCGGGGCTCAAACTCACAGACCGCGAGATCATGACCTGAGCCGAAGTCGGACGCTTAACCGACTGCGCCACCCAGGCGCCCCTCTTTTTTTTTTTTTTTTTTTAAATTCATTTATTTCGAAAGAGAAAGAGAGTGGGTGCACCATGCACAGGAACAGGGGAGGGACAGCGAGAGAGAATCCAAAGCAGGAACCATGCTACTGGTGTGAACTCACGAAGCATGAGGTCATGACCTGAGCTAAAAGAAACTAAGAGTGGGACGCTTAACTGACTGAGCCACCCAGGGCCATATATGATCATATTCTTAATGCTTTCTTTCACTTGAAAAATTAGGATTTAATGCTTTCAAGAACAGTTATCACAAAGTATAAACTGCAAATAAACAATATCACTGTTTTTTCCTCCAGAATGAGTTTCCTCTTAAAACAAGTATTACATGTTTTGGGACGCCTGGGTGGCTCAGTTAGTTAAGCATGTAACTCTTGGTATTGGCTCAGGTCCTGATCTCACAGTTCATGAGACTGAGCCCTGCATAGGGCTCTGCACTGACAATGCAAAGATGTTTGGGATTCTCTCTCTCCCTCTCTCTGCCCCTTCTTGCTCACGCTTTCTCTAAATAAATAAATAAGTAAATAGTTACATGTTTTTTAAAAAGTGCATTGTAATTTTAACAGTAATGAAAAAGGTCTTACGGTCTTTTGCAAAAAAAAATTATTTAAATCTGTAGCATTAATATAGGAATATATTTGCATTTATGTAATGCGTTTTGTACTACAACCCTCTGAAGCAATCTCTTCATGTACACTAGTGATAGAAAGAACTTTCAAAATTTTAAATTAGGGTCCTCTTTGAGGATACACTTAATGACACTGCCACTTTATTTCTATAATTAGCTACACATAGCAAAGCAGAAGAGAAGGTGCTATGCTAATTGATTTTTTAAATTCACTGTATTAGAAAATTCTAATTCTAAAATGTGAGTTGATAAAAAAAATAAAATAAGAGTTGAAAGTTTTCAAGAACTACTTCGTTGGGAGATGTGTAAATGTATTTTGTTATTAATGGAAAGCTCCCATTATTTGAAGAAATACACTAATTTATCTCTTCTGTCTATTGGGGAAATTTTTTTCTCTATATTTTTTAAACATAAAAATTGCTTCTCAGTTGAATTCATTTTTCTATCTAAATCATAGGAGAAATCATGGTTATTTTACATTGTCATTTGATGAACTAAAAATGACTAGTTTCTATTGTCTATATCTTGTGTTTTATGGTTGCTAGAAAATTATTCTTTTTTTTTTTTTTTTTTTTTTTTTTTTTTTTTTTTTTTTAAGTAGGCTTAACACTCAGCTTGGGGCTTGAACTTACAACCCACAATCCTGAGATCAAGAGTTGCGTGCTTGACTGAGCAAGCCAGGTGCCCTGATTCATTTTTTAGATAAACTGTTAACACTGTTTACAATTTTTCCTCCTTTGATTTCATATTAATTTTTGAATTAAATAATCTGCATTCGCATTAAATATTAGGTTTGATGGATAATTATTAGGTACTCAACAATTTTTTCTAGTGTTAAAACATTCAATTAAAATTTTAGGATTAGAATTTTTTTATTGCTGAATTTTAAAATTAATTAGCATAGTGCCTTATCTGCTAGAGAACTCCTTTGCCAGGGGTACCTTTTATACATATGTATATACAGAAGATTGAAATGGCAAGTGTATTTTCAAATGGGAAACTTTAAGTTTTGGGAGTATTTTCCCATCTAAGCCATGAACCACCTACAAAACTATTGTAGCTAACACACTTACTGATATTTTATTCTAGTTCTTTCCCTTGGGAGATGAAGAAGAGGCTACTTTTCTAGATGTTATTCCTAAACAGTTAGAGAGAAAAACCTGTGATCCTAAGGTAAAACTTGTGAAGAACTTTGATTTTCTAATCTACTATCTTTTCCTGCTGTTTTTTATACAACTATCAGAGTTTTCATAGGTAGAAGGTTAGTGAGCATAATGAATTAACCTGGTTTTAAGAGCAAGAGTAACTGACTGCTAGCCTTTGTTTGGTCTTGAGCCCTTTCTCTTTACTCATGAACTAAGAATAATGCATCTCATATATATGTATATATGAAGGATATATATACACGTATATGTGTGTGTATATATGTGTGTGTGTGTGTGTGTGTGTGTGTGTGTGTGTGTGTGTGTGTGTGTGTGTGAAGGATGCCCTAGGGGTTGGACAGGATAATAAATTAAGTATAATTAATGAATGTTCTGTGGAGAACAAAATAGAGCTCTTTATAGCTATGAACATATAGTCTACTCTACCACTTCTACTTCTGTAGAAGTATATATAAACCAAGGTCTAAGTAGTTCCACCTACTGCATATCAAAAATTGATAGAGAAAGTAGCATATAAATAGTTGAGTTTTGTAAGTACCGATTCTGTTTCTTAAACCCAATAGATCTCTACAGAAGAGATCCACTTAGAAACATAGACAACAAGGCATCTGTGTTCTTGTGGAGAATGTGTATTCCCCATCAAACAAAACGGAAATATACAGTCTTTAACAATTGAGACTGTTTTTTATTGAAATGTGTGTGCATCATAATTCAGGATATTTTCAATAAAAGTCCCATACAGGGGCAATTTAGATTTGATTTTCCTCTCAAATGTGTGATTTAGAATCTTCATTTTTAATAAGAGAATATTCAGATTATATACTATTATAATTTTGTTCATTTATGAGTTAGAAATAAATTTGTCCTTTATGTACATTCCTTTGGCTCTATTAGCAATCTTAATTTCCTCCTTTCTGGGTAGGTTTGGTCTTCCTGTGAGGAGTAAAAATCCTAGAGCCCTCAAGGGGGCAGCAGAGAAAGCCATTTGGAGCCTGAAAGCTGATCAAGTCTTTGAGGAGATGACAGTACCTCCCTGAAGTACATGCCTAGATTGGCATCCTATTTTTAGGCCTCTGGTCTCAGAGCAATAGGATCAGATCTTCTGGGAGCCCCCATCCCTCCTCTGTTAAGCCTGATAGTGTACAAAATGCCTAAACAAAGGAAAATGCTTCTTGTATTTCTTCTCTTACTTTCCCTCCTATTATCATGTTTGTTGACTGTCTCCTATATGCCAAAGACAGTGTTAAATGCACATTATATCCTCATGAAACAAAAAGGTCTCTTCCCTCAAGGAGCTTACAGTATAGGTAGTATATAGATAAGAAGAAACTTTGTTGTACTATAATGTGGTAAGTCTATAATGGAAAATTTTATAATGTACAGGGGAAGCATAGAGAAAGGAGCAACTATGTCTTCCTGTTTTTTTTTCTTCTAATGTTTATTTGTTTTGAGAAAGAGCACACACAGGTAGGGGAGGGACAGAGAGAATCCCAAGTAGGTCCCACACAGCCCGACTGGGGGCTCAGTCTCACAACCATGAGATCATGACCTGAGCCCAAATCAAGACTTGGACACAACTGACTGAGTTACCCAGGTGCTGCATCTTTCTGATTTTTTTAATTTATTCATTTATTTTTGAGAGAGAGCAAGTGGGGGAGGGGCAGAGAGAAAGGGAGGGATAATCTGAAGCAGGCTCCATACTGTCATCAGCGCAGAGCCTGACACAGGGCTCGAACTCACAAACTGTGAGCTGCTCCACATCTTTCTGGTGGAATTAGTTCATTATAACTATACTTTTATGCTTATAATGAAAAAATTAGTACTTATTCATTTTGAACTGAATTAAATCAATAACTGAATTATATTTCATAATTAACATATTAGGATAATAGGGGTCTTTCCTGGTTTTAGTATTGGTCACTTAGTAATTACTTACATTAAGTAATATTTAATAGAGCTGAATTGTGATTTCTGTGTATATATACATTGTGACTATATATCAATATATACTTATGCAATACTCATTTTTAATAATTTACTTGTAGCCTGTTGAGTTTCAAGGGCACCAAGTGAAAGGATCAGCCACTAGCACTGTGATGGTCAGAGGACACAACTCACAGCTAGAATGCAGTCAGTTCCCAGATAGTATTGAGTATGGAAACTGCATGACGGACTCTTGTTTTTTGACACCAAAATTGACTAGTGCTTGTATGCAGATTGATTTCTTGCAGGTAAAAATATTTTTTCTAGTTGCACCTTGCCAAATCATTTTCTTTACGTAAATGTTAAATCTTATAAACAGATTATATTTAAATCTTTGAACAAATGTAAGTTACAAAGGAGTTTAGTAAATTGATAAGCATGGTATCTGAAATCAATCTAAATAAGAGAAAAATATTTTATTTGAAAGATTTGCTGCCTTTTAGGACCTGGAATTTAAAGGATTACTTTTCATTTAAGAAAAGACTAGGGATTCATGACAATGGCAAATAGATCACATTTAGAAAATATATTTAACAGCTATAGATTTTTTCTTTTCTTCTATTATCCCCACCCCCACTTCACTGTGACACCAGGTACTTCTCATTGCTACCAAATAGAGGTCATAGAGAGAGAACAATATGCATATATTTGAAACAATGTCAAAGAGATTAAATTTTTTTTCTTTTTTATTAAAGTGTGATGCACATACAAAATAAATGTACATACCATAAGTACACAGCTTAATGATTACCACGAAGTGAACACACCCATGTAACCTCCACCCAGAAGTCCCCCTCTACTCCCTTTCAACTACTACTCCTTCTGTTCCCTCCAAAGGTAACCATTAGTTTGACTTAAAACACCATATATTCATTGTGCTTTTAAAACTTGATGTAAATAGAGTAGTAATATGCAATGTATTTTTTGTGTCTCATTCTTTTTGTTCAACACTGAATGTTTGAAATTCATCACTGTTGTTACCTGTAGCTGTAGTTTATTCATTTTCATTGCTGGTGTGCTAGTCCGTTGTATGAATATTCCCCAGTTTGTCCATTCTTCAGTTGTTTGCATTTGGTTGTTATGGATAATGCTGATAGGAACATTCGTGTGCTGCCATGCACTTCTGTTAATTATACTTTATTGGAGTGAGATTGTTGAGTCACCAGATATGCATATCTTTGCTTTTAGTATATAATGCCAAACTGCTTTCCAAAAATGGTTGTTATAGTTTACATTTCTATCAGAAGTGTATGAGAGTCCCCATCACTCTATATCTTCATCAACGCTTGGTTCTGACAGTTTGTGTTTTGAATATTAGCTATTCTGGTAGATATGTAGTGGTATTTCATTGTGGTTTTAGTTTGCATTTTCCTGCCTAACAGTGAGGTTGGGACCTTTATAGATGCTTATTGGCCTTCTCTGTATTCTCTTTGATGAAGTATTTGTTCAGATTTTTTCCTCAGTTTTTAATTCATGTTTATCTTTTTAATTAATTTTTGAAATCCTTTATATATTGGATATATACTCATTGTCAGTTGAATACTTTGCAAATACCTTCCCTGATTCTGTCTTATATTTTACTCCTAATGATGCTTTTTGATGAATGGAAGTTTATAATTTTTAACATAATACAATTTATCTACCCTTTCCTTTATGATCAATGCTTTTTTGTCTTAGGTCTAAGAAGTCTTTCCTCCATGGGGCACCTGGGTGGTTCAGTGGTTGAGCGTCCAACTCTTGATTTCAGCTTAGGTCATGATCCCAGCGTTGCGGGATTGAGCTCTGTGCTGACTGTGGAGCCTGCTTGGGATATTCTCATTCTCTCTCTCTGTCTTTCTTTCCCTCTGTCTCCCCCCCCCCCCCCCCGCCCTCTCTCCCCTGCTCAGATACACTCTCTCTCTCTCTCTCTAAAAAAAAAAAAAAAAAAAAAAAGGAAAAAGAAAAGAAAATATTCTCTCATATTATCTTGTAGAAGCTTTATTATCTGCCTTTCACACTTTGATGTACAATTTTTTATGTATTGAGATATGGATAAAGTTTCATATTTTTTCCATATGGACATTCAGTTGACCTAGCACCGTTTATTGAAAAGGCTATCTTTTCTCCATCCTTTTGTGTTTCCCCCTTTGCTGTGTAAATCACGTGTCCTTATATTTCAGGTCCAGTTTTGGTTTCTGTTCTGATTCATTGGTTTGTAGTTTGGGAAGTCTTCATATCTTACAAAGTATGTGTTTTCATGCATCTCTAAATCTTCCCACTTTCTTCTTTTTAGCTTTTTGCATTTCCATATACATTTAGAATTAGCTTAATAATTTCCACACATGTACGTAAACATGCTGGGAATTTGATTGGAATTTCATTGTGTATGTAAATCTTGAGGAGAATTGACATTTTTACAATATTTTATTGATATTTTTTCAATATTGTAATAATATATTTTCTATTTTGATCTTAAATTTTTCCCATAAAATTTTACATTTGTGGCATACAGCATTCTCTATCTGTTATTTGTATATTTGATTTGTAGGAGCTCTTTTCATATTAAGAAAACTAACCGTTTGCCATTTCTCCTAATGTATTAGTGTTTTGGTTCTGTTTATGATTTTCTGCAGAAATGCATTTTTAATATTTATGTAATCAGATCTATCAGTGCTTTTTTTCATGGTTTCTGGAGCCAGAACTCTTAAGTTTTCCTTTAGTTCTTTTTAATAATAAATCTTGTTGCTTTTCTTTATTATCATGGTTTTACACTATTTTTAGTAAGAACTAATGATTGGCTATGTTAAGTAGAATAAGTTATTTCTGAATTCCTTCTTTATATTCTCTCAGATTCCTAGTATAACTATATCATTTTTAGATAAATAGATGTTCAACATTTGTATTATAAATACTGTAATATTTTCACAGCTGAAACAATATACTGTGGTTACATTTTGTTTCTTTTATAATTTTGGATTTTTTTCTTAGTTTCTAATTGTCTCATTTTTAAAAATTTGCTTAGTATTCTTTGAATATTGGAGTAAAGATTTTTCACATACTCGAAAAGCTTTTTATAAAATACCCTTCAATACAGGAATCTACACAAACTTATTAGATAAACTTTGTTAGTTCATTTTTTTCCCCCTTGGATCTCTTTCCTATGTCCTCCATCTGTCTGTTCTAATCTACACTGTATAGTTGGCATCTTAAAATTAACCTTCGCCTAGGGGCACCTGGGTGGTTCAGTCGGTTGAACGTCCGACTTTGGCTCAGGTCATGATCTCGCAGTCTGTGAGTTTGAGCCTCGTGTCGGGCTCTGTGCTGACAGCTCAGAGCCTGGAGCCTGTTTCAGATTCTGTGTCTCCCTCTCTCTCTCTGCCCCTCCCCCGCTCATACTCTGTCTGTCTCTCTCTCTCTCTCTGTCAAAAGTAAATAAACATTTTAAAAAATTAAAAAAAATAAATAAACTTTGCCTATTTCCTAGCTTGAGTTGCCTATATCTTGAACATTGTCTTTTTTTCTTGTTTTGTTATGACACATCTTAAGTGCCTCTGAAGAAAGGGAGAATAGGAAATAGAATTTGGGAGACTTTGTATGTTGTAAATATTTTTATTCTGTTGTCATCCTTGATTGATAGGCTAAATATAGAAATTGGATATGATCTGCTATTTTTCTTTTTAAATTTAAATTTAGCAGTGTTTTCTCCTAGAGGTTTTTAAGCATATTTTCTTTGTATTCTTTATTCCTGAAATTTCACAGTGATGAACCTTCCTTCAGGTTTTATTAATACTGGATATTGAATTCTCAGTGAATCTATCCTGCAGATACAAGTCCATCAGTCCTGTAAAAATTTTTTTAAAAATAATTTTTTGGTAATTTCCTCCCCATTATTTTCTTGATTTTTCTCATTCTAAAGCTTCTATCAGGGGCGCCAGGGTGGCGCAGTCGGTTGAGCGTCCGACTTCAGCCAGGTCACGATCTCGCGGTCCGTGAGTTCGAGCCCCGCGTCGGGCTCTGGGCTGATGGCTCAGAGCCTGGAGCCTGTTTCCGATTCTGTGTCTCCCTCTCTCTCTGCCCCTCCCCCGTTCATGCTCTGTTTCTCTCTGTCCCAAAAAAAATAAATAAAAACGTTGAAAAAAAATTTTTTTTTTTAAAATAAAGCTTCTATCAAATGTTTTTAGCCTTTTGTAGCCTACTTTTTCAGCAGCCCCTGTGGACGGCATAGTTTCTAAGTGTTTCCATGGTTATAGGGGTAAATCAGTTTACTTGTCATTGGACTCCCCTGTAATAGGTACTTTGGTGTGACTTTCTTTCATATGATGAAGTTTGTATTCTTCCCCATCCTCTTAATATATGGTTGTTAAATGTTACCATTGTTTCTTAGTTTCATCAAAGATAGAAGATGTTTTTGTGTCTTATTTCCTATGGTTTTTTTGAGGAGAATAGAGGCACTCATATTGACAATGAAATTTGTATCCATTTGTTTTATTTATTTTATTTTTATTCCGTGCCCAATGTGGGGCTTGAACTCACCACCCTGAGCTTAAGAGTCACATGCTGTACCGACTGAGCCAGCCAGGCACCCCCATTTGTTTTATTTCTAATTATTTTTACATACGTTGGTTATGGTAATGTTTTGTATCATGAGTTTCTATGATATGTTTTAAGGCAAAATGACCAGATAGATCTAGGACCAGAGAGAATTTTTTTGGTGTGAGTGTGGCAAATTGCATATAGCAGTCTCTGAACTTTAAAAAAAATTCTGTAGTTCATTAAATTCTCAGGTGCTCTCACTGATTGAAAGGCGCACTGTTCTATTATACACCACTGAGAAAGAAGAACAGTCAGTTAACATACGATGCTTTATCACTTAGACTTTTTATTGAAAAGTTTTTATTGTGGTAAAAAACACATCATAAAGTTTCCAACCTCATCCGTTTTTATGTGTATGGTTCAGTCATGTGAAGTATATTTACAATGTTGTGAAACAGATCTCTAGAACTTTTTCACTTTCACTTAGATTTTTAATGTTATATTTATTGAAAGAAGTCTTGGATTTATTTGTATATCACAAGTAAGGTATATCACCCTGCTTTGTTTCCTTGCCCTTCTGTGAACACAAGACTTTTTTGTTCAATGGCAAATGATAACGTCATCCTTTTGAATACATTTAAACAGCAAAATTTCATAACATGGTAATGTTAATGCAAACTCCTATTTAAGTGACCAATATATGAACAGTATGTCTAACTTGCATATAGTTTCACTTGCACAGCAATACCAACTATGTTACAACCATTGCTGGTGCTATAGGGATGTAAAAGTGTCATCACAGGCTTCATCTGCATTTCAATGGTGTTAAGGTATAAGAAATGTGAACTGTAAGAATAGATGAAATGTAATATACTCTACTTTCCCTGACTAGAATTGGTTTCATAACATATTGTTTTCTGTTTGTCTGTGTCTCGTTATAACCACAAGCTATATGTGTATATATAGAGAGGTAGATAAAGATATAGATATGTACACACACACACACACACACACACACACACACACACATACAGTTTCTTTTTACTAAATAAACTGATAAATGGATCTCTGTTTTCTAGTTCCCAGATGAAGACGACTTTCCAAAAGGAGGTATTAGTTTTAATATTGAAGACAATTTTCAAGTGAGAGCTGAGTCTAATAAGGACACAGTTGAAAATGACTGTAAGTAAAGTCTAAATAAAACATAACATTAAAAAGTTATTTGACATTGAACAAACCATTATGTAAAAATCCACGCTTTTTTTTTTTTTCCTCCACAGCAATTTTAGATTTCTCTCCTAAAAAGTCAGAACGTTCATATCATTATTTGGATTCTGATTTTAAATCAGCAGAGAGGACTTCACTGGAAGCAAATAAGGTACAGTGTAAGCAAAGTTTTAATAGTTGGTAGTAAAAAATCTTGGTAGTCTTATAAGAAATGAATCCATTAAAAACGAAAAAGATAAAAATTTTAAGATTGGATCATTTTTAACGTGATAAAGTTTATCAATAACCAGCCAACATTATTTTAACGATAAAACAAGCAGCAAAATTTCTGTTAGAATAATTAACAAAATGTAGATGACTACCATCTTATTATTCAAAGGTGTTTTGAATTTTCTAATATGACATGACATAGGAGGCATACATAATTAGAGGGGAAGAAATAGAAGAATCAATTAAAAATGAGAAGTTTAAGAACAATTTTGTAAGTTAGTTGAAGGCAAGATAAACTTAAAAAATTAATAGCTTTCCTGAACCAGTTAGAAAACAAAATAGAAAAGTGTTCCGACAATAATAACAACTGATATACAATGCCTAGGCATAATCTTAATTGTAAATATATGGAACATGTGTGGAATAGACTATGAAATATAAAATTCATGAATACATAGCAATTCACCAATACCAAATACCCTCTGTAGGTCAGAACTTGTAAGACTTGGGTATAGAGTGATGGACAAAATAGGTATGTATGATCTCTGTCTTTAAAGGCCAAGGAGAAAGAGGATGAGATGGTTAAAGGAGGGAGAGAGATGTTAATCAAGAGTGCAAGCAAACAAATAAATTGAGATAATTGCTATGTAAGAAAGCTATGAACGTACTCTGAAATAAGGGAATCTACTTTATGGATAAATCTACTTTATGGCTTTTCCAGCTGTGGCAGCTGTAGGGGGAGGAGCATACCTTGTAAAGAAACTGCAAGTATAAATACCCTGAGATCGAAAAGAGTTGAGTGGGCTTGAGAAAGTGGACGAGAGCCAGAGTAGTGGGATTGTAGAGCGTGAAAGTGGTAATTAGAGATTGGAAAAGTGAGCAGGGCCAGTCACACAATCTTACAGGTGAGGTAAAGAATTTTGATAGTCCTCTGTGTTCCTCAGGGAAATCCATGAAGGGTTTTCAGCAGAAAATTACATGACTTAATTTACATTTTTATTTAAATTTTTTTTTCAACGTTTTTTTATTTATTTTTGGGACAGAGAGAGACAGAGCATGAACGGGGGAGGGGCAGAGAGAGTGGGAGACACAGAATCGGAAACAGGCTCCAGGCTCCGAGCCACCAGCCCAGAGCCTGACGCGGGGCTCGAACTCGCGGACCGCGAGATCGTGACCTGGCTGAAGTCGGATGCTTAACCGACTGCGCCACCCAGGCGCCCCTTAATTTACATTTTTAAAAGGTTTGCTGGTTGCTCTGTGGTAGATGGGTTTAATGGATGCTGTGGTGGAAACAGAGAAACCAGTTTAGAGGAGACTTAATTGATAGGGACTTGAGGATAGGCATTGTGGCAGTGAAAGGAGTTAGAAGCATGGGTGTTGATGGATTGAATGTAGATAGTTAGGGTGAAGGAAAAGGGAGAAGAAAGATTCCTGGCTATCTGACTTAACAATTGTGTGATTTTCACTGCGTGGAGTAAGAAGGAGGAGTGTATGAGTTTGCCGGGATTGCCATAACAAAATACTGCAGAATGTGTCTCTTACACAGCAGAAATTTGTTTTGTCAGAATTTTGGAAGCCAGAAGTCCAAGATCATAGTTCTGGCTAATTTGGTTTCTCATGAGGACTGTCTTCCAGGCTTGCAGACAGCTACCTTCTCACTGTGTCCTCACATGGCCCTTCCTCGATGTGTATACATGGAAAGAAAGAAAGAGAGCAGGTGAATGCAAGCTCTCTTTTTATAAGACCACTAATTCTGTCAGATCACAGCCCCACTCTTATGACCTCATTTATCATTTAGACTTTGTTACCTATTAGAGGCCATGTCTCCAAGTACAGTTACATTGGGGTTAGGGCTTCAACATCTGAATTTGTGGGGGACACAATTCAGTCCACAGCAGGGAGGAGCGGGTTTGGTGAATACATAGGAACAGACAGAAACACCTGTGAATCAGTCAGGTAGATATGTAAAGTTAGAAATCAGATACATGGGTCTGGTTCAGAGAAGTTTGCATGGTCATTTGCACATAGCAAAGTTTAAAGCACTGAGAATGGATGGGTTCATTTCAAGAGTGTGTAGAGAAAGGAGAATGTGTTATATCCCATTCTTAAGAATTGGGGCGTAGGGAGGGTTTGCTATGTCAGTTATTGTGGAGACATTGGTAAAATGACAGAAACAGGTTCATGTGGCAACTTGAGGGTTATTGGTGACTTTGGCAAGAGCAGTTTCAGTGAAATAGTGAGGATTGAAACCAGTTTAGATGGATTAAATGGTAAATGAGATGTAAGAAAGTAGTGACTGGATATGGAAAATTCCTTAAAAAGAGTAACATATTTGATTGATCAGCCACTCATTCCTCAAATATTTTGGGGGCATCTACTGTATGTTGCACTGTTCTACGTGTTAGAGGTAGGCCTATGAATAAAACAGGCAAAGATCTGCTCTCCTGGAGCTTGCGTTCTGATGAAAGGAGACAGATAATAAGCAAGTATATAGTACCTTAGAGGGTTTAAGTGCTGTGGAGAACAATAAAGCTGTGTAAGAGGGATGGAGTTCTATTTTATAGGTAAAATAGGGCCTCTCTAATAAAACACTGAGGTGGAGAACTGAAAGAAAAGAGAGGAAGGGAGAGGACACGCATGCCATGCAGATATCTGGAGGAAGAGCATTCCAGGCATAAGGAATAGCAAATGGAAGGGTTTTGAGACGGGGGAATGCTGGCCAATTTGTAGAACAGCAAGGAGGTAGCCATGGAATGAGTGAACAAACGAAGGGGAAAGTGGTAGGAAGTGAGATCAGAAAGGAAGTAAAGGACCTAATCTTATAGGGCAACTGGGTAGGACATTTTCAGAGCGTTGTACTTTGAGAGAGTTTGGGAACCATTAGTTTTAATGAGAAGAGTGAAATGATTAAACTTATGTTTAGAAAGAAACCTATGGCTGGTTGATAGAGAATGTACTGTGGGAACAAGGTGCATACTCAGTAAGTATTGCCTATTATTGTTACTTTTGTTGAAAGTGCAATACAATCTAGGCTGCCTAGGTTTGAATACCAACTCTGCTGCTAATAAGCTGGATGAGTTTAAACAAGTTTAATTGCTTAACTACTCTTTTTCTCAATTCTCTCAGTTGTAAAATAAGGAAAATGAGAGTACTGACCTCATATGGTTGTGTAAGGATCAAATAAGTTAAAACTAAAAGGTACTTAGGACAGTCCCTAGCACATAGTAAGAATTTGTTATTATAATAAGACTATTACTATGGTGATGATTGAATGTAATTTCCCATTGATTTGTCAGTTTCTTCTACTAGACTGAACTCCCTGAATGTGGGGATCATGAGTAATCATCTTCACATCCTTATTTCCTAGCACAACACCTAGAACCAAATGACTAATTAAGAGAGTGTTTTAAAATTTATATATACATTTTTTAACTTTATTGTAATTTACTGAAAAAAAAAAAAAAAGACATGCACATTCTAAAAAATTTAAACCATTCAGAAGTACATAAAGTTACAAGAATCCTTTCTCCTTAATTCCACCTGCATTAGAAACCAACCACTCTTAACAGTTTGGTATGTATTCTTCCAAACTTTTATTCTTTCACTCTATTGTTATACAAATATATATATATATATATATATATATATATATATATATATTAAATGTGATCATCGTATTATATTTTTAAGGTGATTAATTTCTGGAAGCAGCAAGAAAATTAAATACTGTTCTAAGGAGAATAACATAATGAGTAATATGACTATTCATGTCTTGAATAGATCAAAAAAGTTCAGTCCATTTGGAAGTAGTATCTTCAAGTTTAGGTCAACTGTAGATAAACCCTAGACCTGAGGACATAAGAGAAAGCTGTTCATTCCATGAGTCTGCAGGAAGTTTTACCTTCACATCTTCAAACATGAAATCTGAGTTAGTCTTAAGCCCTATTGACTAGAAATTCATCTTCAGAACCAAATCCCCATAACCCAGATCAGTCTAAGTCAGGATCTGACCCATTTCAAATAAATCCAATGGTTTTTATGTTCTGCATTTTATTTTTTTATTATTCTTGTTGATTTTAGTGAGTTTATCCTGTCCCTTTGGGAAGAGTTTTTGCCCTACTGTAGTTCTACATAATGTGCTTCAAAGCATTATTTGTATGATATAGATTACTAGAATTCATTCAAACTATAGGGAAAAAAATGTAGTAACATTTGGTTAGTAATTTTGTTTCTTCTTTCTGAATAGATGACATCACCAGAGCAAAAGATCTCGACCTTAAACCCTGTTTCTACTTTTTCTTTGAACTCAAGAGATGAAGACTTTGTGCTAGAATTCTCTACGGAGTCCCTGAAAGCAAGAACTTTACCTGGTGACCTTTACTTCCTCAGCTTAGACAGTTGCTACCCTGCTGCTCTAATAATACTTATATGTGTAAAATGAAGTTTTTTATTTGAGAAATTGTCACTAAACTAAAAATATCTTGAAACCAGATTCAGTGTCATCCCCCTCAATCCTTCCCACACCACTTTTCTATTTGAGATGGCTCTTACTTCCAAATACAGTACACCCTTCTAACTCTCAGGTCCTTCTTCTCCTCTCAACTTCTCATGACAGACCTCTGCAAATGTCTTCCATCATTGCAGTACTTCTCACAGCTGTAACTCCAGAGTCGGGCCCCTCTATAGTGCCCTCCCCTCCCAGGGAATGATTCATTGTGAATGTCTGATTTACACCATTGGTTGACTTTGGTATAACCTCTTAGTTTCCCCTTTTTTGCTTTGGGATCCTGGCAAAATCAGGGAACTCTTCCAACTGTTGCTACCACAGTTGCATTCTCAGATCTCTGTGTTTTCATACATTTTAAGTCTTCCCTATGAGTAATTTCCTGCTTCTTGATAAGTACAGTACATTCTGTAGGATTCTTTCCACTAACTTTTCTTTCCCTCTCTCTTTTCTTGAAATCTCACCAACGTATCTTCCCTGATTCCGAAGTTATGTTGGGTAAGGGATGAAGTTGTAGGTAATTTTGGGGAGTGGACGATATAAAAAAAAGAACAAAAAAACCCCACCAACTTTGTAATGTGAATGGGTAGTTGGGTTGAAGAAGGTTTAGTGGGTATGGCTAGTAGAGGAAGCAAGGTAGGGAAAAGTCAGTATGGGAGGAGTGGGTATCGAAAACAAATGAAGTGACAGTGGAATAATAGATGATTTTCATAGTTAAAGCATGAATCTTACTCTTGATTTCTTAATTTTTTATTCAAGTATGATTAACATGTAGTGTTATATTAGTTTCAGGTGTGTAGTGTAATGATTTAACAACTTTAGACATTTCTCAGTGCTTATCAAGATAAGTGTACTCTTAATCCCTTTATCTCTTTCCCTCCTCCTCCTGCCCACTTCCCCTCTGGAAACCACCAGTTTATTCTCTGTATGTTAGAGTCTGTTTTTTTATCTCCGTTTTTCTTTGTTCATTTGATTCTTAAATTCCACATATGGGTGAAATAATATATTTGTCTTTCTCTGACTTATTTCACTTAGGATTATACCCTGTAGGCCCATCCGTGTTGTTACAAATGGCAAGATTTCATTTTTTTATGGCTGAGTAATATCCCATTGTGTTTGTGTGTGTGTTGTGTGGGTGGGTATGTACTACCTCTTCTTTATTCATCCACGAATGGATACTTGGGTTGCTTCCATATCTTACCTATTGAAAACAATGCTGCAGTAGACATAGGGGTACATATATCTTTTCAAATTAATGTTTTCATTTTCTATGGGTAAATACCCAGCAGTGGAATTACTAGATCATATGGTAGTTCTATTTTCAATTTTTTGAGGAATTCCATACTGTTTTCCATAGTTGCTGCACCAATTTGCATTCCCACCAACAGTGCAGTGTTCTTTTTTCTCCACATCCTTGCCAACACTTGTTATTTCTTGTCTTTTTGATTTTGGCCATTCTGACAGGTGTAAAGTGATATCTCATTGTGATTTTAATTTGCATTTCCCTGATGATTAGTGAACATTTTTACATGTGTCTATTGGTCATCTGTATGTCTTTGGGAGAATGTCTCTTCTGGTCCTCTGCCTATTTTATTTTATTTATGTTATATTATTTTTGAGAGAGCAAGAGAGAGGGAGCGAGCGAGAACGGGGGAGGGGCAGAGAGAGAGGGAGACAAAAGATCTGAAGCAGGCTTGGCGATGACAACGCAGAGCCTGGTGTGGGGCTCAAACTCACGAACCGTGAGATTATGACCTGAACCAAAGTTGGACCCTTAACTGATGAAGCCACCCAGGTGCCTTGGTTCCTCTGCCCATTTTAATCAGATTATTGGCTTTTTTTGGTGTTGAGTCATATAAGTTGTTTATATATTTGGGATATTAATCCCTTATCTGATATATCGTTCGCAAATATCTTCTTCTGTTCAGTAGGTTGCCTTTTTCTTTTGTTAATGGTTTCCTTCACTGTGCAAAAGCTTTATTTTGGTGCGGTCCCAATAGTTTAATTTTGCTTTTGTTGCCCTTGCGTGGGGAGACCTATCTAGGAAAATGTTTCTATGGCCAGTGTCAAAGAAATTACTGTCTATGTTCTTTTCTAGGAGTTTTATGACATCAGGTCTCACATTTAGGTCTTTAATCCATTTTGAGTTTATTTTTGTGTCTCATGTAAAAAAGTGGTCCAGTTTTATTCTTTTGCATGTAGCTCTCCAGTTTTCCCAGCACCATTTGTTGAAGAGATTGTCTTTTCTCAATTGTATATTCTTGCCTCCTTTGTTGTATGACCATAAGTGTTGGCTTATTTCTGGACACTACTCTGTCCCTTGATCTATATGTCTATTTTTGTGCCAATCTTTTACTCTTTAATGATGTTTTAACTTTTCTGTCAGTGTTGCTTGATTGGCTTGTTAGAATTATAAAATAACACTATAAAAGAATATCATTTGCTCACTTACTGCTCTACTACCTACCCAAATGATCCCCAAAGTTTATTTCCAACAAATATTAACTCTGTCAAGAAGGTACATTATTATAAAATAGGAAACCATAGCATTGTCAGATAAAAACGTTAAGCTTATATAGCTCCCATGCGGTATTATTTATTCATTTATTTATTGAAAAAATATTTATTATTGCTTTTTACATTTTAGGAATATATTTATTATTAATACTGCTGACAGAAGGAATTCTAAAACTCAGCCAAAATCTAGTTTAGGAGAATTATACTCTTACCACATACCAATAGATCAGAATAAAGCTAACTATCTTCTTTACCCTGAAGGTTAACATATCACTTCATGGGTATAGTAAATATAAAGGAAGTTACAGTCACATAGATAAATAAACCGTGAACTTCAGTCTCTGGAGTAGGAATATACAATTAAGAACAAAAAACCAGTTCTCAGTTCATGTCCTGACTCTGCCAGTTGATAGTCATGTTACCTCTAGGCCTTGGCAATCTCATCTGTAAAATGAAAATAATAAATCCCTTCATGGTTGTAAAGTACTTTGAAAAGTTACGTGCTATGTAAATATAATCTAGTGATTGGTGGTGGTGGGTTGGGGGGAATCTTAGCTAAGGGAAAAAGAAAAAGGGAAGGATTTCAAATGCATTAACCTTAAAAAAGTTTGAGTCTCTTGAGCTTTGAAATCTTCATTTTTTTGAGACTAAAATCATTAAAAATATTTTATTATGAAAAAGGAACTAAAATTACCTATTTTTTGTTTTTTGTTTTTTTGTTTGTTTTGGCAAGGCAAGTTGTTACTTTTTCTTTCTTGTATAGATAGCTACTGGTTTTTAGAGCCTAGTTGATGGCCATAATACATTTTTATTTAATCAGCTCTTTTTTTTTTTTTTTTCCAGTTATCAAAAAACCCAGTTCTCTGGGGAATAAGAACTTTCAAAGGCTTCCATTAGTAAGTAGAACCCGAGTTCCACTTATTACTTTGCCACATGTTGATAGGTCACCTGATTTAGATTCTCGTTCATACGACATCATCTGTGACAGGCAAGAATCTTCTGGTTCCCCCATATTCAACTTGTGTGAAAAGTCAGCGGTTCTTTCTTTTAGCTTTGGACTTGACAGCCAAAGTGAAACTTCCTTCTCTAAAGAATCCAGAGAAGTGACTCCAAAGGATGTTTTACTTCTCAATAATATATCTACTCAAAGCAAGTGGCTGAAATATCAAAACATACCCCAGTGCAACTTGACTGCTCTAAAGGTAGTTGATAAAGTAACAGATGGCTTCTTTGCTGAGGTTGTTTCTGGGACACATTGTAGTGACATAGGTGAAAGACAGAGTGATGCTGTGAATGAAAGCTCCATGCATTTGCAAATGATAAAAGACATGCTCCATCAGCAGCAACAGGATTTTAGCAGTCAGGATTTGATTTCCAGAAAGAAAGCACTGTCTTTGAATTTAAAGCAGACTACCAAGACTGAGAAAATTCACAATGTGTTAGGAGAGTCTGCCTGCTGCAACTACAGTGTAACAGGAGATTTACAGGTGAGGAAATGAGCCAATGTATCTTGGTGCATTGTGTCTAATAGTTAGTGTTTGAATTTCAACAAAAGAATTACCAAAATCATATAGGAGCAATGATTTTACTTTTAGAGCTAATGACTTCTTTTTTTGAGTTTTACAGAACTCTAGCTATAGTCATATCTTCTTTGACTTAAAATCTTACCTAGTAGTTATGAGCATTAAAAGAAATTATGTGGTATCTGGCACGTAATAGGTACTTAATAAATGATAGCTCCAACTGTTTCCACTTCTGCCACTACTATTACTGTGATTGTTTTCATTTTTCACTATCAGCTCAATTTTGCCGATCAGATCATGATTAGGGTAAAGTTACATCTTATACATTGGTTTTGCAAAATTCTATTGTAGTTGTAACCGGAAATAGAAACACATAATGATACCATTCACATCAGCTAAGTTTTTCCTAGAAAAAAGTTTTTACAAACTTATTAAGAGGCAGACCAGAAATGGTTAGTTTTGTTTTTTTTTAATGTTCATTTATTTTTGAGAGAGAGAGGGTAAGTGGGGGAGGGGCAGAGAGACAAGGGAACAGAGGATCCAAAGTGAAATCTGCCCTGACAGCAGTGGGCCCAATATGGGGCTCAAACTCATGAATCATGAGATCATGATCTGAGCTGAAGTTGAATACTCAACCGACAGAGCCACCCAGGCACCCCACGTTTAGTCTTATTTATATGATTAAAAGTGCGATGCGTAGCCATTCTTGCTATACTTGGTATCTCATTTAAAATGAGAAAATGAAGAGCGCCTGGGTGGATCAGTCGATTGAGCACCTGACTCTTGATATCAGCCGGGTCATGATCCCAAGGTCATGGAATGGAACCCTGCATCCGGCTCTGCACTGAGCATAGAGCTTGCTTAAGATTCTGTCTCTCTCCCTCTGCCCTGCTCCCTTGCTTGTGTTCTCTCTCTCTAAAATACTACTACTACTACTACTACTACTACTAATAATAATAATAATAAAATCAGAAAATGATTTTCAAGGATTCTGAAAAATCAAAAAAATGTGTTTGTTAAACATATCTATAGAAAATAATTTACTCATTAGTAGACAGTATTTTTCTGGAGTTGTTATAATAACTTGAATTATTCCATTTCAGGGGATAAGTGGCTCTGAGCTGTGCTTCCCAAGTGGGCAGAAAATAAAATCTGCTTATCTTCCCCAAAGGCAAATTCATATACCGGCTGTTTTTCAGTCTCCTGCTCATTATAAGCAAATTTTTACATCTTGTCTCATAGGTATGACTTATCTTCCTATTTTATTATAATTGTTTGCTGCTTAACGTAAGTAGGATAGCTGTGAGAAAACATAGTATCTTATATTGTGAACTTTCATATTAAATTCTCTACTTGAGTTTTGTTATTTTCCATATGTCCATTCCAGTTTTCAACAGTAACTTACATTCTAATTTCAGGTCAAATTGAGTGTCAAAAGTAGGAAATGACAGTATTATCTTTTAAAAGTTAGAATTTTTCATTAAAAAAAAAAATGTTTACTTATTTTTTAGAGAAAGAGAGAGCAGGGTAGGGGCAGAGAGAGAGGGAGAGGGGCAGGGCTGTTAGCACGGAGCCTGATGCTAGGCTCAAACTCACAAACCATGGGGCGCCTGGGTGGCGCAGTCGGTTAAGCGTCCGACTTCAGCCAGGTCACGATCTCACGGTCCGTGAGTTCGAGCCCCGCATCAGGCTCTGGGCTGATGGCTCGGAGCCTGGAGCCTGTTTCCGATTCTGTGTCTCCCTCTCTCTCTGCCCCTCCCCCGTTCATGCTCTGTCTCTGTCTGTCCCATAAATAAATAAAAACG